GCACCTAGCCAGGCGAGGGGGAAATTCAGTCCACACCCGGCTTCCCAAGCCACCACCAGAGGGCGCCTTTTACAACCCACACAGAGCAGATAGGGCTGGGCAGTGGACAGTGCAGGGGCTGTGCTTTCCACGCATCCTGCCTCAGCCTCCTCTGTGGCCATCTGCCCTGGCTGTCAGCCCCATGAGAAGGCTCAGGGCCGTAGTCACTTCTGGTCACCACCGTCTTCCGGAAGGGGACATCCCACGGAGTGACGGTCACGTACTGCGGTGACAGACACGCGCTCTGCTAACTGTGACGGGGTCACTGATTGGTTTGGTTTGTGAAGACAGAGTTTGCTCTGCAGTTCAGGCTGGCCTTGAACTCACTACACTGCCCAGGCTGCCTCAGGCTCACAGAGATCCTCCTGCCTCAGCCTCCCAAGTGCTGAGTTACAGCGCGTGCCATCACGCCCGTCCAACTATAATGATTTGATTTGATTCGATTCGGTTTGATGTCTTGGAATGCTTTTAAGCAGCAACACTCGGTGTTCCCAGGCCTCTCACGGCAGCCCCGGCAGCACAGAGCCCAGCAGCCCTGGGTCAAAGGCCCCGGTTCCCTTCCAGCCTTCCTGGCCCTGCATGCTCGGGGCGGGTTTCCCCTTCCTCTCGGGAGCCAGCAGCGCTTGGCAATGGTGACCACTGTGCCTCGGGCTGAGTCACCCCAGCCTCCCCTTCCAGCAAGCAAATTATACTCACTAAACCCGGAGGGCATCGCGTCATGCCTGGAGCATTTGCGGAAGAATTTCTCTCTCTCTGCATCATTCACAGCGGCTGCGAGCGACTCTGCCGAGGAGGCTTTGTGGTGTCTGCAGTCGGGGTAACAGACACATGTCTGAGGTCACCCCTGCAAAGCCTGGGGGTGCGGGGCCCCCGGTCCCCAAACGGTGCAATATGCATTTATCCCACAGAGAATACCTGAGCGTCTGCTGGGAACCTGGACTGACTTAACCCGAGGGAGATACAGCCACACCCACACCCGCGGGAGCCACGACTGCCCCGCGTGGGTGGACTTTTACTGAGAATTTGCGGAAAGCCGAGGCTCACCAGGCGTGGCGGCGCATGTCTGTCAGCCCAGCCACTTGGGAGGCTGAGGCAGGAGGACTGCAAGCCCAAGGCCAGCCCGGGCAAGTTAGTGACCTAAAAAATAAAGGCTGGGAATGTGCAGCACTCAGTGCAAAGGCCCTGATTCAATCCCTGACACGCGCACACGCGCACATGCACACACACGGCCCAAGGTACATTTTCTCCTTGATTCTCTCAGCTTCCAGTAAATTGGGGGTCGCTGCATAACCGCTTATCAGGTTCCGTTTTCTGTAATATGAGGGAGTGAAATTGGGGTGCCGGACCGCTCCTGGCCATTCTGTTATTTATTTATTCATCCACTAATGCAGAGTCTCACCGAGTTACTAAATTGCGCAGCCTGAGCTCGAACTTGCCACCCTTCAGCCTCAGTAGCGAGGGTTACGGGAGTGCACACCGTGCCCTGTGCCCTCCTTTAATTTTAATTTAAGTTTTAATTCTCTGCACTGTCGAATGACTTGAGGATCGCCGTTGGCCTTTTCGCAGACCAACAAAAGCTGTGACCTCCGCCCGGCGTTTCCCGCGGTTGGACACGAGAGGGCGCGCGCGAGCCTCCGGCCGGCGGGAGCGGTGCTCGCCCCGCCCGCAGGAATGCGGGTGTGGGCGGGGCCTGGCCGCGGTCCGGGCAGCTGTGCAGAGGCCTGGCCTGGCCTGGCCGGCCTTGCAGGGCAGAGCGGGTGGCCAGGGCCTTACCCGCTCGCTCCTTCGGGGCTCAGCGCCCAGGGCTTCCCAGGAAGGGCTGGGCAGCGCTCAGGAGGCCAAGGCGTGATTGCAGTGCGGCTCTGTACTGAGTAGGATTCTTTCCAGCCTGGTTCCGCTTGCTTTTGTTTTTTGTTTGACTTTTTGCTTTTTTTCTGCAGTCCTGGGATGCAGCCGAGGGCCTTGGAACTGACCTTCGTCTCCAGGCCTTTTTTAGCTTTTTATTTTGAGACACGGTCTCAGTAAAGGAGGAAGCTGTGCAGGCTGACCTGAACCTGCCATCCTCCTGCCTCAGCCTCCCAGTGTCCCGGGCCCAGGCCCGCCGTGCTGGGCTGAGGCTCCCTTTCCCCTGCTGGGTGCGGCAGGAGCCCTCAGTGCAGGCCTGCCCAGGTCGGTCCTCCGTCCCCTGGGCGTCTGGTCATCCCGGGTATCTTCAGAACGTGCCTTGCGAAATCAGAAATGGTTCCCAGGACACTGATGCCACCTCACCCGGGTGCGAATTTTCAAGAGCAACTAGTTGCAAAGAAAGACGAAAAACCCGGCAGCTGGCCTTGCACCTCCTGATCTGAAAGCGTGACGGGCCACAGGCCTCTGCGCCCAGCTCTCTGGAGGCTCAGGCAAGTTTGAGCTCAGTACGGACAATATAGTGACGCCTTGTCTCAAAATAAAAATACAAAGGGCTGCATAAGCAGCTTAGCACCAAAGCCAGGCTCAGTCCTCAGTCCTGGGGAAAAGCATTGCTAAAACTGTCACAAAATTATCAACAAGTTGGTAGAATATCAGTTAGGCAAAGACACGCTATCAGGACGTCCACACTAATGAAACGCAAGGTTTCTGTGATATATGGGAGATGCCACCTCCTGCCTCAGTTTCCCGAGTGCTGGGAGGCCAGGTGTGTGCCAGCACACCCGGCTGAGATCCGGTGGACGTGTGTACCCGGCAGGGCTGACCTCGGAGCGCGTGGCTGGGGTGCAGAGCAGCAGCGGGTTCTGCGGGACGCAGAGGAGCTCCAAGCGCTGATGAGACTCACAGATGCGCGAGCCGCGCAGGCAGCCTCCTCCTCCGCGTGCGGGATGCGCGCTGCGTCCGCACCAGCGCGGGGCCTGGAGGGAGCCCAGCTCGCCTTTGATAGTGGGAAGGCTGCATGAATTATTGTTCATTTACCAATGAAATCGATTGCAGATTTGCCAAAGAATGAGAACTATTTGAGCTAACACAGAAAATCCTCAGAGGTATAGATTTCAAAAAAAAACCCTAAAGCTCAAAGTATGTGTACAGGATCTGGTTTTAATAAAAAGGAGCATACGCTGCTTTGTTCATACCTGCTTATTTAAAAAATTATGATGGAACATGACATAAAATAAACTTTACCATTTTTTTTTTTTTTTTTGGTACCAGGGATCGAACTCACAACCTCGAGCTTGCCAGGCAGCTGCTTATGCGACTGAGCTAAATCCCCAGCTAACTTTACCACTTAAACCATTTAAAATTGTTTTCTTTTAAAATTTTAATTTCTAATTTTTGTGGTGCTGCCCCTGAAATCTCTCCGTATTCTTCCTACCAAGCTACGTACCCCCAGCCCTTTTTATTTTGAGACAGGGCTTTGTTAAAACACTCAGTTATCCAGGCTGGGCTGAAACGTGTGATCCTCCTGCCTCAGCCTCCCAAGGTGCTCGGATTACAAGCAAGTGCCACCACGTGTGTCCTCGTTTTTAAATTAGTTTAATTTTATGTTTTGAGACAGAGTCTCACTGTGTAGACCAGGCCGACCTTGAACTCACTGTGTAGCCCAAGCTGGCCTCAAATTCACGCAATCCTCCTGCCTCGGCCTCCTGGGTGCCGGGATTACGGGTGTGTGTGCACACGGTGCTGGATACGTTTCTCTGGGGTGAGGCAAACAGCATATCCTGATTGATTAACAACAAAAGGAGGCGGGGATGAGGCTCAGTGGCCGAACATGTGTGCGTGAGAGAGACAGAGACAGAGACAGAATGACAGAGACAGAGTGACAGAGAGGTGGCCCTCAGCCGCGAGGCGCGTGGACGGGAACTGACCTGAGCCAGCGCGGAGGCCTTATCTGCGCCGAGCTGGGAGGACGGTGTGGCGGTGGCGTCTGGCGTCTGCCTGTCTGGCCTCTGTCCCGGCCGGCCGTCTCCAGCTCCCCCTGCGCCTCCCTCCTGCCTGAGGCTGTTTTTCCCCAGTCATCGCTTGCAGTTGTGAGCATCTTCCTGATGCAACAGGACTTGACTCAGGGCGGTTTAGCCACGGAGGAATTTAGGGGCTGGGTCCCGGGGCTCCTGGCAGAGGCAGCCTTGGGAAACTGCTGGGAACCAGACAGGAACACAAGACGGGAAAAGCCTGGTGTGAATCACAAACCCACGAGCTCCTGCTTTCAACTAATTTTGTTTTTAAGGGATTTGTTTTGTTTTGAGTTTTGTTTTGGAGACAGGGGTTCACTACGTAGCCCAGGCTGGCCTTGAACTCACGGGCGAGCCTCCTGCCTCAGCCTCCCAAGTGCCGGGTGGGCATCGTGATGCTCTCTGCCGTGAAGTCCTGGCGCACCACAGACAGACTCTGTGATCCACTCACACTCGTGTTTGTGGCAGCACAGCTACATCAGCAGTACCTTTGGAGCGTGTGTGTCCACCACAGATGGATGAAAAAAGACAACGTATTTATACACATTGGAGTATTACTTTGCCATAAAAAAGATAGACTCGAGTCATTGGTAGAGAAGTGGCTTCTTCACCACAAGACCATAATGTTATGTGAAATGAATCAGACACACAAGCTTAAATGTCTACAGCTTCTCTTACTGGAGAAACCCAAAATAGAAATAAATCAAAGCACAAAACAGAAGATAGATCATAGCGAACAGGGAGCTAAGATCTCCTGCAAATGAGAAGGGAACCAAGAGACCGAGGAGAAAATAAAGAAGATTTGTTACATCCACGGGCCAGCTCCCCACATCACGCTCTTCACCTACATGCTAATAAAAACAGAAGGTAGCAGGGCACGGTGGCTTGTGCACCCCGTCATGCCAGCACCGGGAGGCTGAGGCAGGAAGATCTCTGTGAGTTCACTGCCAGCCTGAGCTACACAGTGAGGTCCTGTCTCAAACAAAAACTATCCCGAGACCTCCTCATTGACAGAACCCCACACAACCGAAGCCACAGAACAAGGAGCGGGTAGCCACAGGATGAGCTCCTGGGCTTCTGTGGATGTTTATTATTGTTTTAAAACATTGATTGGATTTTTATGAAGCTATAATTCACCATTGATTTGCACACACTGTCTGAGTCCATTTCTGAGGTTCAAGGCCGTTCGTCAGGCTCCCAGCTGTCGCCACTAATCTGCTCTCCTGCAGACTGCACGGGGCGGCTGGGTCCTTGTGTCCGCAGAGTCAACCAACTGCGGCCAGCTGGATGGGGAGGCTGAGGCAGGAACACGGCAGATCTGAGCCCAGCCTGGCTGACTTAGCAACTTAGCGAGAAATCTGCTAAACATTTAGAAAGGGCTGGGGACAGAGCTCGGCGTGAGGGCCATGGGCTCCTCCCAGAGCCACACACAGAGGAAGGAGAAGGCATTCAGTTCTACTGAATATTTATTGTAAATATGGCTCGTAATTCCCGGAAAAACAGCGGCGGACCAGGAAACTGGGCTCTGGGGTGTGACACGGGGAGCCCGGCGCTGATCATCCCTGTGTTCACAGCCCGGGTCACGAGACCCTGCAGTTGATGACGTGAAGTGCGTCCTGTCCTTTGAGGTTTGTGACGACGCCCCTTCCTCCAGGGGGACCCTCTGGCCTGCCCAGACTGGCTCTGGGTCCTGACCGCTAAGGGACAGAGATTTCCACAATGGCAGGTATGGAACAGGCCAGCAGAGTCAGCTGACTGACTTTACGAAGGGACCAGCTGCTGAGTGACTTCGTGAATGCAGTCCTGAGAGTCCCTTGGGCTCACTGCGTTGAGTGGGCAGCAGAGAGCACCTGGGTGGCCGACTGCGGCAGCCAGCACTCTGGGAGGCTGAGGCAGGAGGATCTCCAGTTCCAGCCCAGCTTGAGCAACTTGGCGATTTAGCCAGACTGTGTCTCAGAAACAGAGAATCTGAAAAGAGCTAGGATGGGGCTCAGTGCAAAGGCCCCGGGTCCCCCCACCCCGGGGCTGCTCAGGGCTGGCGAGGATCCCTCCAGGCTCCGTCATCGCGGCTGCACGCGGCTCGGGAGGCAGCTGCAGGCCAGGCAGCGCAGGCTGAAGCGCAGGAGGCCCGGCCAGCGGAAGAGCAGGCGGTGGGCGGTTCGCACGTACAGGCGCCCCGAGGGGTCCAGGGCCTTGAGGGCCATCAGAGGGGCGTAGCGGGCGTTGGTCTGTCTGCGCAGCGGTGGCCGGGCGGCACCGATGACCTTCACGATGGCCTGTGTGGTGTGACGGGCCCTGAGCTCTGGGGCCTCGGGGCCCCCCACCCCGCAGCGTCCCAGGGCCGAGGTCACTCACCCGGGCCACGTCCCCCGGGCTCTGCCCCACGGAGCGGAACAGCTGCGAGGAGGCGGGCAGGTAGAGGTCTCGGAAGTAGCCCAGGGTGTCGGGGTCGGTGCCCGGGAACTCCGCGGTGGACGCCTGAGCCAGGAGCTTTGCCTCGAAGTCGGTGGCCACCGGGCCGGGCTCCACCAGGGAGATGCTGGGGACGGAGCCGGGCACGGTGCCCACCGCTGCCTCAGGGACGGTCGCCCGACTGTCCATCTGCTCCTGCCCCCGCCGCGTCCTAGGCTGGCCACGGACTCACTCGGAGCCCAGACTGACCTCGATCTCAAAGGGGAACCCTCCCGCCTCATCCTCCCCTGTGAGCGGATGGCAGACCTGCAGCATCACCCCCGGCTCTCTCCCCCCTCGACTTCCCCGTCACCACCCGACTCACGAGATGCTGAACTGGAGGAGCTGGATGGCCAGGCTTTCGAAGAACCCCTCCAGGGCAAATTTGGAGGCTGCGTAGACATCGTTGAACACGACGCCTGCATTGGTGGCAGGGAAGAGGGGTTTCTTTGAGGGGGATCAAGGAGGAAAATCCCAGGGGCACGGATGGCAAATTGTGACCTCAGAGTGGCTTACTATCAGACATCAGTAATCGGTCACTGATCTATGTCCTGCTGAGTTTCAGGGTACCAGACCCAGGCATCTCAGGGGGCCTGCCTCTAGGGAGTGTGTGACAGGGAGGAGTTTCAGAAGCAGTTCTGATGGTTCTTTGGGGTTTGGTGGGGACAGCGTTTTGGGGAGGTTGATTCTGGCTTTGTGGGTGTTTGTTGATATCACACAGACCACCACTACCTACTCTTATACTGTGGCAGGCATAGTTAATCTATCCCAGAGCCTTTCCCTTCTGAGCTTCAGAATCCATCTTGGCAGAGCTGTCTGGGCTCACGCACGCGCCCAAGAGACCTGGATCTGTGTGCCATCCTGGCACCCAGGAGGGTCGGACAGGGTGCAGTGGGGAATTCCTAGCAGCAGGTCCCCGGGCCTCACCCTGCAGCCCCATGACGCTGCTGACCACCACGATGTGGCCCCGTCTCCTCCTCTTCATCCCGGGAAGCACTGCTTTGACGAGACGCACGGCCCCGAAGAAGTTGGTGTCGAACACACTCTGCATGGTGGCGATGCTGACTCCCTCCAGGGGCCCTACCAGGCCCACGCCTGCGTTATTCACTGCCAGGGGCGGAGCAGGTTGCCATGGAGGCGCCAGGCTGCCTCAGGTCGCCCCACCCAACCCTGACTTTTGGGAACACACATGGAGTCTTTTTTCTTTTTTTTTTTTTGAGTCAGACTGAACTCTATGAGCTGAGGCAGGTGGGATCCTCCTGCCTCAGCCTCCCGGGTGCTGGGATTACAGGAGGGCACACCAAGCCGGCCACGTGTGGAGCCTTGAGGCTGCTTTCCCAGACTCCAGCATTTGATGGAGGCGCCCGAGGGGGGCCAGGCCGCCCGCAGCAGCTTCCGAGGTAACGCAGGAGCATTCGGCTCCTAATCCAAACTGCATCACCCCGGCGACACCCACCCCTGGGAAGCCGCTGCGGGAGTCTGGTTCCCCGCTGCATCCTGCTCTCCCCCAAGTGACTCACGGAGGCAGTTTCCCGGCCACATATGGTTTTCTGCCTACGCGAGATGCCTCTTCCGTGGGCCCCACCACCCCCGGCAAGCTGACTGCAGTTCCAAGTTCCGGCCAACTGGTCTACCTGACGCCCAGCGCAGAGGCGGCTCAGGCTTTGCCACCTTGGGACCCTAGACACGATGGTGGGGGACCCCCGGGCTTCAGTCTCACCCAGCACATCCACGTCCCCGCCTTGGATGTGGCTCAGACACTGGGCCACCGAGGCATCGTCACACACGTCCAGCTGGGCCACCGTGAGGGTCTTCCCCAGAGCGTCCCCCGCAGCCGCCTCCAGGGCCTCCTTTTTCCCCAGGTCTCTCATAGTGGCCACCACTGGGGACAGAAGCAGAACGGGGTGGACACGGGATCGCTTCCCCTCACATGATTTGTAAATTTAAAAACAAATTTTTGAGCCATGGTCCCACCCTGTAACTTAAGCTGGTCTTGGGTGCACAGTGAGAGCCCGGGCTGGCCTTGAGCTTGTGCCTCCTCCTGCCTCAGCCTCCCGGTGCTGGGATGCCAGCCACGCCCGGCCTGGACTCACTGCCGCGCGCAGCTCACTGTGTCCCTTCTGCCCACCTCTAGGTGTGCGTGCCCACAGCCACTCATATGTACTGAGATTCATGGTGACAGCAGTGAAGGCAGCTCAAATCCCAGCTCCGCCACGTCCAGCCGGTGACCCCGCGTGAGGACCTCTGCACTGCAGGTTCCTCGTTTCTAAAATGGGCAAACTTGGCACCCTGGCGTACACCTCTAATCCTTGCTGCTGTGGGAGGCTGAGGCAGGAGAATCTCAAGGTTTAGGCCCTGTCACCAAAGTGAGAGTTTAAGAAAGGCCTCGGGACGAAGCTCCCTGGGAAAGCTCCGGGTTCAATCTCCAGTTTTGCAAAAGAAGAAAACAAAACAATACAGTGTATCCAAATTTCAGGGGGTTTGGAATGTGATATCACTGTATAGTCCAGGCTGGCTTCCAACCTCTGGCGATCCTCCTGCCTCGGCCTACCTTAGCAGTTTGGACCCTCGACCCATCTGCCCAAAGACAGGGACACGGCTGGCTCTGCACGCTGGTGCTCAGACCTCCACCGCCCCAGCTGTGGTGTTTCTGGGACAGAGGGCAGAGGGCTGCAGAAACGGGCCTTCCAACTGGGGCGACCTCTGGTCCCGGCAGCCTCCTGTTGAGTAACAACCAACCCTTTGCCACCAAGCCGGCTCCGGGTCAGAGGTTCTCCTGGCTGGGGGCGCGGTTTGCAGGATGCACGTAGAGGCCCCCTAAGCCCAAGGTCAGCAGGGTAAGAGGCTTAACTGCAGCCGTAATCCGGGCCGAGGCGGGTGTGAGAGGCAGCGGGCGATTCCTCCACCCCGGACGCCCGCAGCAAACCTCAGCGAAGTCTTCCCCGACCAGCGCTTCTAGAAGTGACCTCTCCCCCAGGCTGGCCTCGAGCTCGAGGTGACCCTCCTGCCTCGGCCTCCCAGGGCTGGATCCCAAGGCTGGCTCAGGGATTTTTGTTTTCCTCCGAGCCAAGCAATGTACCACCGCGCTGCGCCCCAGCCCTGAGATTTTTCTGCCTTTTCTTCCCAGGGGGGTCCCCAGCACCTGGAGCTCACAGTCTGCACCCAGTGCGGGGTGAGGGGGGACGCAGAAGGAGAGAGGCCAGGGCGCTTCCTCAGGGCTCCCGGTTCTCCCCGGCCCTGGGGGGCAGCTGGCGGGGAAGGGACAGCAGAGGGGGCTGGGCCGGGGTCCCTGCCATTTTGGGGTGGGGGGCCTTTACCCTGGTAGCGCTGCTTGGGGTCCCGAGCCAGCTGCACGGCGAGCTCCAGGCCGAGCCCGGAGGAGCAGCCCGAGATCAGCACCGTCCTCCTCGGGGTGGCCATGCTGATCCTGAGCCTGGGCACGTGACCTCGGCCAGGGAAGGCGCCGACACCCCTCCCCACGCCAGCCCTCCTGGGCGCCTCCACGCCCTCCTGAGTCCCTCCCCGGGCAGGCTTGGGGCGCAGGGACCCTGGGGTGTGACCTGAGCAGCTGGCTGGGGGGGACCCCTGAAGCCCTCTGCCCCCCACCCCTTCAGCTGTCCTGCGTTTCTTCCTGGGGTTTGGGGGTGCTGCTCGGTGGGTGGTTTAGCTTGCTCAGGGCCCTGGGTTCCAGCCCAGCTCTGCAGAACACAAAACAAAAGAAAAACAACAGCTAAACTTTCAGCCAGGCATAGTCGTGCGTGGCCATCATCCCAGCACTCGGGAGGCTGAGGCGGGAGGGTCTCTGCGAGACAGAGCAGGCAGGCGAGAACTTCAAGTCTGGGTTGAAAGCTCAGGGCTGCACGTTCTTGGGAAAGGAGGTTGGGTCACTTGGAGGTGTGCTGGCTGCTCCCCGCCACTGTGGGAGCCCCCCTGGCTTCCTGGGGCCGGCTGGGGCCCCTCCCCTCCTCTCCAGGGACACAGGGACTCTTTGTCTGAGCAGCAGGCTGGGGCAGGGCGCGGCCTGGTCTCCCCGCTTGCTCCCCACACCGCAGCTCAGGGCCGGGGACACGCCCGTGGCCGGCACCTCGCTGCCTGTCTGAGCTCGTCCAGGGCCCGGGGAGCGGCTCCTGAACCCAGGGACCTCCCCGTGCTGGGGGCTCCCGGCAGGATGAGGGGTCCTGGGCTTCTCCCCAGGAGCAGTTCTAATCCACCTGTCCCCTCTTTGATGGGAAGGGGTGAAGATTTGGAGTTGGGGTACCCCGCAGTGAGGGAAATAAGAGTTAGCAACACAGATTGGACCCTTTATGTGAGGATTAAGAATCTGGGGGGGGACCTAGACACGGTGGCGTGTATTTATAATTCCTGCATTCGGGAGGCTGAGGCAGGAGGATCGCCATGAGTTCAAGGCCAGCCTAGTTTTCAGAGTGAGTTCAGGACCAAAGTGTACTATGGACCGAGCCCGCCTCAAGCAAACACAAAGGAAAAAAGAAGAAAACCTGGCTCGGACTCTGTGGTCACAATTCGGGAGTGGCACCAGGTCACCCGGGCTGGGTCGAAGGACGGAAGCTCAGGGCACAGCTAGAAACCCATTTAGGAGCCTGCAGCGAGGCTTGGCCTAAGGATCGAGGGCAGGGAAGGTGGCCGGGAGGTGACGGTGACGTGGGGACCTCTCTTTTGGGAGCCCCGAGGGGCGTCCCGTAAAGCTCGCTTCCCACCTGGCTCCAGCCCCTGGATGCAGGCTGACTATTTTGCTTTAGTATGTTTTGGATTTTGGTTATTTTTGAGACAGAATCTCACTCTGTAGCCCAGACCGACCTCCGGCTGGCAGAGATCGTCCTGCCTCAGCCTCCCGAGAGCTGGGATCACAGGTGGGCGCCACCACCCCAGAGGAGCCCGGAGGTATAAGGGGAGCTAAGTGCTCCCCCCGGGGCCTGTGGGAGGAAGGGGTTCAGGGGGGGCCCGGACCCCCATTCTAGGGCGGGATGGGGAGCCCTCCTGGTTAGACCGACAGGCTGCGAGTGGCCCAGCCCCGGGCAGGCTCTGCCCCGCCGGCCAATCGGCGCGCGGCACGGCCTTCCCGCCCCGTCCAGCTGCCGGCGGCCCCCCTTCCCGGGCTGGCCGGGCCCCAGAGCAGGGCGCGGCCGGGCGGGGCTCGGTCATTCTGCGCCGCTGCCCGCTGCAGCCGGCCGCCCCTGCGCCGCGCTGTGGAGCCGCGAGTCGCCGCGCCCCGCAACCGCCCTGTGCGGTGGCCCGGGTTGCAGACCGGCCCGCCGGATGGGGAGCTGCCGGGGCCTGCGCCAGCCTCGGGCCGGCCTCTGCCTGCTGCTGGCCGCCCTGCAGCTGCTGCCCAGGACGCAGGCCGGTGAGCCGGGAGGGCGGGCCCAGGTCGTGGGGCTCAGGACCCTGCGAGACCCCAAGATGGGAGGGTGGGGGTGGGGCTTGCAACGTGGGGGGCTCACTGTCCCTCTCTGGCCAGTTTGGGGGTGTGACAGCCGGCGGGGGGGGGTGTCCTGGGGAACACGGCTGCTCCCCGGCTCTGGCATGAGGAGGGGTGTGCGCGGCCCAGGGCGGACTCTGTGTGTGCTGGGAGGTGGGGTGCAGACGCGGGGGGCCGGGGAGGTGGGGCGCTGGGATGTGAGCACCACGTACCGGGCTGAGCTGCTCCGAAATGAATTTCCGGGCGGGGTGGCGCACGCCTGTCATTTCGGCGCTCAGGAGGCCGAGGCAGGAGGATCGCTGTGAGTTCCGGGCCAGCCTGAGCTGCCCAGCAACATCCAAACCAGCCAGACAGAAAAAGAGAGTGAACGCTGGCTGGTTCCGCGGGCCTCACCAGCCTCCTGAACTCCTGGGCAGCTTTAGTGTGTGCAGTGTGGGGATTTGAACCCAGACGTCAGTATGCTCTATCACGGAGCGACAGCCCGAGCCCCGCGGATGATTCTGAACGATGCGGTCACAGATGCGAGTCACAGACGCGATTGCGGTAGCTCAGTGTCGGGGCGCACGCCCGTCACCCCAGCCCGCAGGAGGCTGAGGCAGGAGGATCTCCGTGAGCTCAAAGTCAGCTTGAACTCAGAGCCAGCCCGCGTCTCAGAGGACAAAAAACCCGCGCACTGTGTGCATTTCGGGGTGACGCCGTGTGGACAGGAATTGTGATTGTGGGGTGCACATTATTGCCCGGGAATAGTGACTGAGCCTGCGGTTGCTGTTGAGCAGGGGTGGGTGTGGGGGACCACAGGGGGGCCCACAGCTCCCTTGGGATCCCCCAGCCGCTCCCCCTCCCTTCCCCTCCCCCCGCCCCCCCGGGGCTCCCCAGAGCCGGTCAGCACCGCGGACAGCGCCTCGGGAGGGCGCGGCGGGGCGGGGTGAGGGGCGGGGGCGGCGGGGTGCGGCAGCTGCTCCCCTCCGGGCTGGCCGCGGAGCCGGGGTGTTTTTCCCCAGCACTTTCTCAGGGGCCCCCCAGGGGTCCCGGGGGCCGCGGCTCGGGTGACTCAGCGCTGACGCACGCCCAGCTGCGCGCCTCTGGCCCTGCGCCCGGCCGCGCCCCGCAGGGTCGGGGTGAGGGGCGCCCCGAGGTTGGGGCGCACTGATCCGCGGTGGGGAACGCGCAGAGCGGCTCTGACCTTGGGAGCCCCGGGCTGGGCGGGGCCGGGTCCCACAGCCCGAGCTGCGGCCTCGGGGTACAGCCCCGGGGACCCCGGGAATGCGCGCCCCGCGGCCTGACCCGCTCCCCCCGCGGCCGGGGCTCGCACGAGCTCCCCTGGCATCGGCGCCAGCGTGGTCACCGCGGCCACTCGCCCGCTGGCCCGGCCGACTGGGTCACTCCGTCCCGGGAGCTGGGCAGGAGCAGCCTCCCTGTCACAGCCCCCCGGAAAGCGTGGGGGTGACAGCTCCAGGCCCGGCACGCGGGAGGCGGCACCCGCGATGGCACCTAATCCGGTCATCGCGGGCGGGTGTTTGCACACATTGGATGTCTCCCCAGAAATGCCAGGCCTGGCGCAGTGGCACACGCCTGTCATCCCAGCACTCGGGAGGCTGAGGCAGGAGGATCTTTGTGAGCTCAAGGCCAGCCTGAGCTGCACAGCAAGACCCTGCCTCCAAACAAGAAAAAAGTGACACGCTGTCTCGTGGCTGAGGCAGGAGGGTCACCTGGAGTTTGAGGCCAGCTTGGGCCACTTAGTGAGTTCAAACCCAGGATGAGCTACAATTTGAAAACCTCCAAAACCAAAAAAGTAGCCAGCGGTGGTGCTCACGCCTGTAATGAATTCCAGCACTTGGGAGGCTGAGGCAGGAGGATTGCTGTATGGGCAGGACCAGCCTGGACTACACAGCGAGACCCTGTGCAAAAAAACCAACCAACCAACCAAACAAACAAACAAACAGCCCCCCAATAATTCTCTGGCCCACTCAGCTCCCACTCATGCAGTCACACCGCACCGCACACCTGTGGGCCCCGCCACGTCCCTGCCCGGCTCCCGGGGCCTTGACCAGCACAGGCCAGCGAGCACGCATGCGGGGGCAGCGGGGCTGGGTCCCCACAGACTCCGGCCCCCCCGTCCTGCAGCCGGGGCTCAATGCTCCTTGTGTGCGTCCCTGTCACGAGGCCAGCCATGGAAAGAAAGGGTGGTCAGTTTCCAAAAGGTCACTGCAGGGGGGCACACACTGAAGAGGCGTCCCTGGAGTAGAGGCCAGCTCTGGGGACCCGATGTGCACAGGCCGGGGAGACCCCTTCCCTGCCTGGGAAGCTGCGGGGAGGGAGATTGCGGGCCGGACACGCTGCGGAGGTCAGTGTTCCCTGGGGCTTGGCCTGGAGAGGGACAGCTGGGACCAGTGTCCCGCAGGGAGTGGCCTTGTGGTCAGCTGGGCCTGGGAGCCGGATCTCAGCCCCAGGGGGTGGTAACCCAAGTCCTGTTAATGACTTCAGAGATGGAGACACAGGACAGGCGATCAGAGACAGGCGGGGGGGGGGGGACACAGAGAGAGACAGAAACACAGAGAGAGACAGAGACACAGAGAGAGACAGAGACACAGAGACACAGAGAGAGACAGAGACAGAGAGACGAGGAGAGAGATAGAGGCAGAGAGAGACAGACAGAAAGATGGAGAGAGACAGAGAGAGACACGGGGCGGGAGAAACAGCCAAGCACCAGGTGACAGGCGGCCAGTGAGCCACGGTTGCTTGATTGGCTGACTGACTGACAATTGGACCGGACAGCAGGAGGGGCTTCCTCCAGGCTGCCACCCTGAGTCCAGCCCCTCCTGTTCCCAGGGTGAAGTCACAGCAGACTCAGGGAAGGCCGCTCTTGCCAAGAGGCTGGTCAGGGGGTCAGTGGGGCGGGCGGCCGGGGGGCAGGGGAGCCCTGCCTGGCCATGTGGTTCCACTTAGTGCTGGCCAGGCTGCCTGGGCTGGGGCGGGGCCGAAGGCCTGGATTAGGCCTGGGCTGGGCCAGGCTGGCCTCGTTACTGAGGGGAGAAGGGGACAGAGTGGAGGGGGGCGCAGGTGCTCAGAAAGAGGTGATCCGAGCGGACACCGGGGGGAGAGAGCCTGGGCGCTACAGGTCAGATGGGGGAGCCTGGGAAAGGCTGGAGCTTGGGGGCCACGGAAAGGAGAAGCTAGTAGCCGGGGTGGGGGAGACCCGAGTGTGAACAGTCAAAAGGGAGAGGTCGTGGGTTAGGGCCAAGGGACAGCGTCCATCAGCAGGTGGACGGACACCCAATGCATGGGGGTCTGCGTGGTGGAGTATTACTTGGCCGTGAAGAAGGACAGACTCAGGACTCAAGATAGCAATGAAAAGTGAGAGAAGACAGACAGACAGAGGAAACAGGGAGACAGATGTTCTCACAGGGGAGGGCACCGCTGGACAGAGGGACGGGCCGAGAGAGGGTTAAAGGGGGGAGCGAAAAAAAGAGGGAGGAGGAGGAGGTGTTGGAGCCGCTCCCCCAGGAGCTCGGTACACAGAGTGATAAAAATTACAAACTGGGGGGAAGGAAAGCGCGGTCAGAGGGGACGCGGCCGGGGGAGGGTCTCAGAGACGGGCCGAGGTCAGAGGAGGGTTCGGGGAGCAGCGTGCAGGACCCCCTTTCCACGCGGCTTTTCGCTGGAAGGGGCTCGGGGGGCGGGCAGGGAGGGGGCCCTGGGGAGCCCTTGCGGGGGAGTTGGGGCGAAGGGACCGGCCGGCTCCGGGGCTCCGGCCAGGAAGCGCTGACTCATCCCAGAACTAGGTCAGGTTTTCTTCACCAAAACCCAACTGTGCGTTATGTGGGGGGAGCCCCAGCAGGAGCCAAGGGACGGAGGGGCCGGACAGCTGCAGGGGGACACGGCAGGGCCGCCTGTCCACCTTTCCCTTCTTCCTGAGCCATAAACACACTGGGGGGCAGGACAGGGCCCCCCAGCCCGGGACACCACGTGGGGTCCTGGCTTCTTCTCACCGCCCCTGCCGCTCTCTGCAGGAGACCCCGTGGATGTCCTCGAGGTCCTGGGCGTGCGTGGGGGCCACGCGGGGCTCCCCGAGGGGCCTGGCTTGTGTCCCCAGCGGGCTCCCGAGGGTGACCGGGCATTCAGAGTGGGCAAGGCCAGCGCGCCCGGCGCCCCCACGTGGGAGCTCTTCCCAGGTGAGGGGTGTCGGGGCAGGGTGTCCCCAGGGAGGGCGCGTGGGACCTTCGGGTCACCTGAGCTGGCCGATGGCCTCTGTCCAACCAGATGGACACTTTCCTGTCAACTTCTCGGTGCTGGCCACCCTGCGGGCCCAGCCGGCCGACCGCTCCGTCCTCCTGTCCGTCTATGACGAGACGGGCACCCGGCAGCTGGCACTGGCGCTGGCACCCACCCCGGGGCTCCTGGGTGCCACCTTCGGGCCCCCGCCCCAGCAGCCCGGCCTCGCGGATGGCAGGTGAGTGGCGCGGCGGGGGTGGACACGGGCGCCTCCAGGGTGACCGCAAACACGCGCACGGGGACCGTTTCTCGGCAGGTGGCATCGCCTGGCGGTCAGCGTGGACGGTGACACGGTGACGCTGGTGGCCGACTGTGAGCCTCGGCCTGCCGGGTCCAGCCGGGGACCTCGGTCGGTCAGCACGGCCGGCCTGACCATGCTGGGCACTCTGGACCCCGAGGAGGAGGCCTTCAAGGTAGGAGGAGGCACGCGGTGGCCGTTCACCTGGCCACAGGGCGCGTGGTGGTCTGCGCCTCTGCCCTGCGGTGGCCCGCTGCCGGCCGCTGTCTGGGGTCAGCGGTGTCGTCCCCGGCCGTGCTGAGGGCCACAGTGAGCGGCCGCCTGGCCTGCCCTCCTGTCCTGGGCCGCACCCTGCAAGGGCACCGGGCACGGGCGGGACACACGCGGGTGTCACCTGCGGGTGCTCTGGGCGCGGGAAACCGAGCCAGGAGCCGGGGTGGGGGCCGTGCCCGGGCGGGCTGGGTCCGGTCAGCCTGGGTGCCCGCCCTGTGCCCGCTGCAGGGAGACGTCCAGCAGCTGCTCATCAGTCCCGACCCCCGGGCCGCCTTCCGGGCCTGTGACGGGCTCCTACCCGGCTGTGACACCCCGAGCCCCACACCCGCGGGGGTGAGTGCCACCCCTCGTCCTGCGCCAGCCGGTCCAGGGCTAGGGGCCGCCCGGAGCTGACCGGTGTCCTCTTCGCAGCCCCCGCAGGGTGACCCCGAGAGTCCTCCTCCTCCGCGACGCAAGGGCAAAGGTCAAGGCAAGAAAAAAGGCCGGGGTCGCAAGGGGAGAGGCAGGAAGCGCAAGAGCGGGGGACCCCCGGCCCCCAGCCCCGCCCCCGGGGCCCCGGGCAGCCAGGTACCCCTCCGGCCACCCCCCAACCTGCCTCTGTGCCTGTCTGTGCTCTGACCCCGGAGTTCTGACCTCTGCCACACTGCTGGGGCGGGGTTTGGTCTTACGAGAGGCTCCGCATCTGTGCACCCCAATTCTGGTGCTGGAGGCTTAGAAAGAGATGTCCCCCCAATGAGCACCTGTTATTAGGGTTCCTGATGACACTCACCCGGCTAAGGTGAATGCTGAAGGCTTCCTAGGTTAGCGTTTCACTGACCGGGGTTCATTGATTGACTTTCGTGGTTTATTCTTGGGTGGGGGGAGCCCTAACTTGGGGACGTTGTTGGGACCCCATGGTGGGAACTGCCGCTTAGAGGGAGTCCCTGAGGGAGGCATTAATCGAGGTCGATATTGGGGTGTCCCGGGGGGCCCCTCGTTGGAGGAGTGCTTTTTAGGGGCTCATAGTTTGGGGGAAGTCCCTGATTGAGGAGTAGCTGATTGGCCCCCCCCCCCCCCGGGCAGGCCCCTGCATGCAGGAATAGCTGGTTGAGGCCACGGGGAAACCGTTAATGGGGTGCACCAGTTCCGGGCCCCGGGTTGCAGGAGCAGCTGGGGTCGTTTGCTGTGGGGTCACCAGCTGGTGGCCCTGGGCACGGCCGCGGCTGGGCGGGTGGCGGGGTGCGCGGTCTCTCTGGCCCAAAGCTGGGTGCCCTGGGCCGCCCCGCCCCCGCGCCCTGACCCAGTTCCCGCGCAGCTGCCGGCCCGGGGCGGGTCTGGCCCTCGGCCTCGGGGCTCCAGCCTGGCCGGCCCCGCTCCTCGCCGCGCCGCACACGCCCCCTGCCGGCCGGCCAGCGCCCCGCTGTACCTCCCGGGCCTGCGCCAGCGCCGGGCTCCTACGCTACCCGCCTCGCCCTCCCTGCCGGACCCAGGCCCGATTCTACTTCTGCGCCCGCTCCAGGCCACCACCTTCGCCCCCCAGCCCGGGTCGCCGGTTCCGAACCCACCTGCGACTCCCACGCTTGCGACTCCCACGACCGTAGCCCTGGCCTCCCCAGTGACCTGGGCAGTGACTCTTGGCCAGGACGGCGCCTCCCCAGAGGTCCGGAGCCGGGGCGCGGGTGGGGGGTTTGGAGGGGAGGCGGGCGGGGGACGAGAGGGACAGACTGACTGTCGCTGTGTCCCAGGAGGCGCCAGAATCTCAAGATGGAACCCGGCTCAGTCTCCAGGACACGGACGCCGCCGGGGAGGAGGAGGAGGAGAGCGAAGGAGGGGGCTCCACTATCGACCCCAAATTCCGGGCAGCAGAACAACCTTTCCAGACTGAGTTCCAGATCTTCCCCGTGAGTCCGGGGGGCTGCAGGTGGCGCCGGGCAGGGGCAGCTTTTCATTATTATTATTATTATTATTTGGGGTACCGAGGATCGAACTCAGGACCTTGCGCTTTCCAGGCAGGCGCTTATACCGCTGAGCTGAACCCTCGGTCCCTATTATTATTATTTTGAATCAGGGTCTCATAAAGCCGCTAAGATGCCCAGGCTGGGCTTGAACTTGCGATCCTCCTGCCTCAGCCTCTCAGGGTGCTGGGGTGACAGGCGAGCGCCCCTGTGTCTGGTTTGTCGTTTTCTCCCTGGACTCTGTGTTGCCTCAAGCCCAGCGCAGCTGACAGATGCTTGGCGGGCGCTAAGCCAAGGGGTTGCGTGGGTGGTGTAGAAGCTAGGGGCTGGAACTTTCTCTGACCGGAGCTCTCACCGTGGGCAGTAGGGGGAGCCAGAGAGGCCGCAGGGCAGCCTATACTTGGAAAATTCTGGGTGCCGCTTGCGTGCCGAGCTCTGTTTTCGTTTTGTTTCGCTTTTTATGGCGACAGTGTCTCGCTCGGTAGGTCAGGCTGGTCCTCGGAATCACGCGGAGCGACCCTCCTGCCTCGGCCTCCGGGTGTCGGGATGACAGGCGCGAGCCGCCGCACCCGCTTGCCAAGCTCTGCTTTACATTCACCCCTCTTCCCGGGGACTCTGAGACCTGGTGGTCACGGGGGGGGGGCTCATTCTGACGCCCCGCTGAGGCCCTCCAGCGCCCCACCTTTCCTGGCGGGGGGAGGGCCAGGAGGGGGCGCAGTGCAGGCCTGGGCTCCGGCCCTCACCTCTCTCCCCCTTCCAGGGTGCTGCAGAGAAGGGGGCGAAGGGGGAACCCGCAGTCATTGAACAGGTGAGGAGGGGCAGGGCTGGGGGGGGCCTTCTCCGGAGCAGGGGTCACACGCCTGTTTCTCACTAGGGCTGGAAGTTTGAGGGGCCTCCAGGAGCCCGGGGACCCCCGGTGAGTGTCAGACTTAGGTTCTGGTTTTGGTTTTTGAGGCGTGGTGTCGCCCTGCGGCCCAGGCGCAGCGATCCTCCTGCCTCAGCCTCCCCAGGGCTGGGGTGACGGGCGCGCCACCAAGCCCCTTCTTTTCCAGTTGGGGTGCGTGTGAGCCCCTGGGGTGAGAGCCCCCCTGGTCACCCGGGAGCCTTTGCCCCTCCGGGGGTAATGAGTGTGGGTGCAGAGTTGGGGCGAAGGGGTCCGTGTGCAGTGTGGGGGCGGGGAGGTCAGGGTGGGGTGAGTCGGGGTCACAAAGCTCTGTGTCTCCCGTGACTGCTGTTTCTCTGTCCCCAACAGGGGGTGGCTGGGCCCCTGGGCCCCCCGGGGCCCCCAGGATTCCCAGGGGACCGCGGTCCACCGGTAAGAGGCTCCCTGGGGTGGCCCCTGGCTGGGGGTGCGGGGTGGGGACCCCACAGGGGCTGGGGGACCCCGGCAGCCCCCCCTCAGGCGTCGGCCATCTGTCCACCACGTCCCTGACCCCCGTCTCCCCCCGCACCCCGACTTCGCCCCTCTGGTCCCCATCTCCCACCTGCACCCCCCTCAGGGTCCCGCCGGCCGCCCCGGAATCCCGGGCATGGACGGAGTCCGCGGGGTCCCCGGCACGGTGCTGCTGATGCCGGTGAGGAGCCGGCCGAGGGGAGCCGGGGGCGGGTGTGGGGGGCGCTGTCCCGGAGGCCACCTCACCCCGGCCCCCCCAGTTCCACTCCGCAGGCAGCTCCCTGAAGGGCCCCCCAGTGTCCTTCCAGCAGGCCCAGGCCCAGGCGGTGCTGCAGCAGGCGCAGGTGAGGCGGGCGCGGCTTCCCAGGGGTGCCGGGGGACCCGAGCCAGCTCCCCAGCAAACCCCGGGAATGGGGGAAGGGCGAATGCCGGCATGGAACCGTGTGCCGGCGCGTCCTGACATCCCGGTGTGGGGGTGAGGCTGAGGCAGGAGGGTCCCCGGTGCGACTCCCCCAGTGGGGGGACCCTGGCTCCAAACGGAAAATGACACAGAGGGCCGGGGCGCAGCTCAGGGGGCACAGTCCTGGGTTCGCCCTGCGTTCAACACACACACACGCACATGCACACGCACACACTGTACACACACACGCACACACATATTGTACACACACAAACATTGTACACACACATGCACACCACACTTTGTACATACACGCACACACATTGTACACGCACACACAATTCCAGGGCATGAACTGCGCAGGGCGGCGGGGACAGTTGAACCTTGGCCGTGCTTGGGGTTTGGGGGTCCTCATGGGGGTCTTGAGGTTCTGTCCCCCGCTGTCTCCCCAGCTCTCCATGAAGGGCCCCCCTGGCCCGGTGGGGCTCACTGGGCGACCAGGGCCCGAGGTGAGTAAGGAGCCTGCCTGGAAGAGGGGGTGCCTGAGACCGAGGGTCACCCCTGACCGTGTCTGTCCCCTTACCCCTCCTCCTCCCCAAGGGTCTCCCCGGATACCCCGGTCTGAAAGGAGAAGCCGGAGAAATGGGGCCGCAGGTGAGAGTGGGGGCGGGGACAGAAGGGACGGGGCTTCCCAGGGGCGTGGGCAGGGGCAGGGCCGGAGAGCGGAGCTGGGCGGCCGCGCGGTGGCCTGGCGTGGGCAGCGGTCTCCCCCTTTCATGATTCTGTCCTTTCTCTCTTGCTCTGGCTGCAGGGTCCCCGGGGGCTGCAGGGACCTCCCGGGCCTCCTGGCAGAGAGGGGAAAAGGGTGAGTAGCCCGCGGTGCCCGGGACACCTCCGGTGCCATCTCCCGGGGACACAGGCGCCCCGTGTCTGTAGCCGCACAACGCATGACAGCTAAAGTCTGGAGGCGGCCTGGTGTCCACGGGCAGGAGGGCAGCGCTTGTGAAAGAGACGCCCAGCTGTGGGACACAGCAGGCCACACGGGAGGCCGAGGCGGGAGGATGGCAAGTTTGAGGCCAGCCTGGGTGGCCAAGGGCGAGTTTTTGTTTGTTTTGTTGGGGTTTTTTTTGAGACAGGCTCTCTCTCCGCGTAGCCCAGGCTGGCCACAAGCTAGCAGTGACCGTCCTGCCTCAGCCTCCCAGGTGCTGGGAGGACAGGCCTGCGCCACCGAGCCCGGCACTTTAGCAAGATTCTGTCTCAAAGTTAAACTCTAAAGGCCGGGCGTCACTCGGGGCGAAGGCTGCTCCTGGATTCAGTCCTCAGCAGCGCGTGGCTCTGGGTTCGAGACGCCTTGGTGGGTCGGTGACAGGTGTGGCCGAGTCTCCTGGGTTTTTTTCCTTGACTCCCACCCTGTCCTCCAGGGCCGCTCTGGAGCAGACGGGGCTCGGGGGCTCCCCGGAGACACAGGACCCAAGGTGGGCGCAGGGCCGGGGCTGGGCGGGGCGGCCGGCAGGGTCTCGGGCTCAGCCCAGCAGGTGTCTCTTCGGACAGGGCGACCGGGGCTTCGACGGCCTCCCAGGGCTGCCCGGAGAGAAGGGCCAGAGGGTGAGTGTGCGCCCGCCCGTCTCCTCTGGGGTCCCCCCCTCGGGTTTCATCTCCACGCTGACTGCCTGTCTGTCTGTCCCTCCTCCAGGGTGACTTCGGCCCCGTGGGGCAACCCGGTCCCCCAGGAGAGGATGGTGGCAAAGTAAGTGTGGAGGGAGCTTGGGGGTGAGGACGGGCCTGGAAAGAAGGCTGGAAGCTGGGCGTGGTGGGTGACGAGCTAAGCTCATCATCCGACCCTGAGGGAGGCTGAGGCAGGCAGGTCTCCAGCCTAACCCCAAGGGGACCGTTTAATGAGATGCTACTGCACCATAAAAGATACAAACAGGGCTGGGGCTGGAGCTCAATTCGGAGTCCCCCGTTCAATCCCCGGTACCCTGACAAAAAGTGGAACCCAAAGAAAAAGGGGGTCCACGAATCAGCCTCGGGAGCCCAGTTCAGGATGGGAGTGGAATCCAGGGAAATATCACAAAGCCCTGAGGTGCCCTGGAAGGAGCTGCCTGGCTGAGGTGGGGTCCCTGAAGGGTCGGGCCCCCACAAATAGTGCTACCTTCCCACAGGGAGCAGAGGGGCCCCCCGGGCCCACCGGCCAGGCTGGGGAGCCGGTGAGTATGGCCCCTGAGCCCCCTGCTTGGGGTGGGGGACGTGGGGACCCCACAGAGGTGATACTGGGGTCATATGTCTCCTTCCCCGCAGGGCCCCCGAGGTCTGATCGGCCCCCGAGGCTCCCCCGGCCCCCTGGGACGCCCGGTGAGGATGCCACTTGCTGTGTGTCCCCTTCTGGCTGTCTGTGTGTCCACCTTGCTGTCCAGCAGCTCTGTCCGCTCGCCTTCCTGCCTGTACCTCTGGCTGTCTCCTCCGGCGACCCTGGCTGGCCCCACCTAATGTCACCTCCTGTCCTCCCCAGGGCGTTACCGGCAGTGATGGGGCGCCTGGAGCCAAAGGCAACGTGGTAGGTGTGCCTCATCCAAGGCCTGGTGCTCCCCGCCCTCCGGTCTGTGATTCAGTTTACTATCATCATTATTATTGACAGCGCCTGGGTCCTGCCCCCAAGCTCCATCTCCAACTCTTGCTATATTTTTACTTTGACGCCAGCTAAGTTGCCCAGGCTGGGCTATAACTTGGGACCCTCCCGCCTCGGCCTCCCAGAGTGCTGGGATCACAGGCAGGCAGACCTCACCCACTCCCCGGCCGTCACCTCCTCCGGCCCTTGACACAGTGACCTCGTCCAGCTTCACCGACCCCCTGCTTTCTCTGCAGGGTCCACCTGGAGAGCCAGGGCCGCCCGGACAGCAGGGAAACCACGGGGCCCAGGTTGGCGCCGTCTTTCTGTTGATGGGGCGACATTAAGCCCCAGCCCCTCCCCGCCTCACCCCTGCCCGGGACTCACGGCCTCCCCCTCCCCCCTCCCCCCTGCTCTGCTTCCTCCAGGGAATCCCGGGACCCCAGGGACCCATCGGCACCCCCGGGGAGAAGGTGAGCAGCCCCGGCACCTCTCCCTCAGCACCCCGCTGTGTCACCAGCAAAAACTTGGAGCCAGGGCCCTGGCTGGCCGTCAGCCAGCCCAGAGGGACAGAGTGGCTTTGTGGGGAGGCCGGACACGGGCGCCCACGCGGCCGATGGCACAAGGGGACATTGTGAGCACGGAGGCCCGGGACGCTCTCACAGACGGCCCCCTGGGCGACCCCCTTGTGCTCCGTCGGCCAGCTGCGGTTCCCGTCCCCGCATGCTGCTGTGCGTCACCAAGTCTGGCTGCGGTCCCTGGACTTTAGGTCTTCACCAGAAGCCATCTGTGTCTGTCCCAGGCTGGGGGGGCTCAGGCCGCGGTCAGGGGCTCGGGACGGTCACTGCACTGGGAAGGCCAGCGGAGGAGCAGGACGGCCGCTCACCGCATGCGTGGCAGAGGCAGAGAGAGACAGAGACAGCCCAGGGGAAGCCAGCGGGCCGGAGGGGTCCCCAGGTGCAGCCACGGCCACTTCCTGTGACCACCGCCTTTGTGGAGCACCCCCTCTGCAAGCACGAGACTTTGGGGACACTTATTTGATTTTGCCTTTTTGAGACAGGGTCTCTCTATGCAGTCCAGGCTGGCCTTGGGCTCACTCTGTAGCCAGGCTGGTCTCGAACTCACAACGATCCTCCTGCCTCAGCCTCCCGAGTGCTGGGCTCACAGTGGCAGCCCCAGCAGATGTCCCACGCTGAGCTGTTTGGTTGTGTGTGTGGGGAGCTGGGATGGGGTCCAGGACTGTGCACAAGCTAAGCGGGGGCGCGACCACTGAACCCCACAGCACTCCTGTCACCTGCCGGAGAGGAGCAAGGTTTCTGTGGGCCAGAGAGGGCAGGAGAGCTCCTCGGGGACACACAGCCCGTCAGGGTGGGCTGAGACGGGCAGATGTCCTGAGCGAGGGACCCCCACGGCCCTGAGACCCCTTTCCCTGTCTGTCTGCTTTCAGGGGCCCCCCGGAAACCCGGGCATCCCGGGCCCCCCAGGAGCTGACGGCCCTCTGGTGAGAGCCGGGAGCTGTGGCGTGGAGAAGGGGGGCTGGCTTGGGGACCCGGCAGGGGAGGTCGGTGGCTGGTGACTCTCCTGTTTGTGCTTTAGGGTCACCCAGGCCCCGAGGGCCCCACGGGAGAGAAAGGGGCCCAGGTGAGTAACAGAGGAGGCCGCAGGGACACTGACAGGGCTGCGGGGTCCCAGAGGGGACAGCGGAGCGGCCCTGACCTTCTCTTCCTGCAGGGGCCCCCAGGCTCAGCAGGGCCCCCGGGCTACCCCGGACCCCGCGGTGTGAAGGTAGGTGACCCTGGGAGCCCGCAGGGCAGGGAGCCATCTTTGCCAGAAACACAGGTGGGGAGCCGGGTGGTGGCACACACTTCTCATGCCAGCACTGGGGAGGCTGAGGCAGGAGGGTCACTCGTTCCAGCCCTGCCCGGACGACTTAGTGAGATGCTGTCTCAAAATGAAAAAGATTAAAACAGGCAGGGGACCTAGCGGCACGGAAGTCCCTGGTTCAGTCCCTGGGACTGCACACAAAAATGCGACCCCTAACCGTAAGCTTAGAGAACAACCATGGCGTGTCTAAGCTTGGTGCGTGGTTTCAGGCCCCCTGGGAGGGGTGGACTTCTTGTCCCCTGCCGGACCGGGCCTTGCTGAAGCTGGCATTGTGGCCAATCTAGTGCCAGGGTAGCCGAGGCCGGAGGACAGCGGTAGCCAGGACCGCAGTGATTCCCTGGCGGCCCGTCAGTTCGCCACGTTGCCGAGCACATATTTACTTGGTGGCCTGAGCTTGTGAGGGGGACCCCGTCCCCTGTGAGCTGCGCTGGGGGCACCGTACTGTGGCCCACGGTCCTCTGGGGACAGTCGGGACGAGGACCAAACCTAGAATGCTTGTCGAGCAGGGAAAGAGAGTTTTATTCTTTATTCTCTGAGCTTCACTATGCAGCCCCCGCTGGCCGCAGACTGGTTGGCGACCCTCCTGCCTCAGCCTCCTGATGCTGGGTGTAGACCACCGTACTCAGCTCCTGAGAGCTTCTTAAAACTTGATCTTTCAGGGTACCTCAGGCCATCGAGGCCTCCAAGGAGAAAAAGGGGAGACGGTGAGTGAGGAGGGGACCCCGGGCGGGCGGGAGGGAGCCCGCCGTGGCGCCTGGCTCCGTCTCTTCCCTGACCTCTGCCGTTTCCTCTCGCCCAGGGAGTGGACGGCTTCCCTGGCTTCAAGGGCGATATGGGCCCCAAAGGCGACTGGGTGAGGAGAGCCGAGGAAGGGGGTTCTGGGGGAGTCCCGAGGGAGCCAGCAAGGGGTGAGCGTGGGAGGCAGGGGCCGAGACGGAGGCCCGTCTATTCCAGGGCCAGCCAGGACCTCCCGGAGCCCGCGGAGAGGACGGTCCCGAGGGGCTGAAGGGACCCGAGGGGCTGCCAGGCGAGGAGGGGTCCCCGGGCGCAGCCGGCGAGAAGGTGAGTCTGCTGTGGTCAGCTGCCCGCAGCCGGGCCTCTGTCCCCCGAAGGCTAGGCTGGCACCCCCTCTGAGCTGCACCCCAGCCCCGCGGGGCAGCCCCAGGCCCCGGTTTCCTTTCCGGCTCTGCACCCAACCCGGGGGCCCGAGAGCCGTCCTGATGGCCTGATTGGCACTGGGGACGGATCTGCACCCTCTGCCCGGAGCAGAGTTTGAGGCAGCGGCTCCCCAAGTGACCAAATGGTCCAGGCTGGGCTCAGACTTGTGACCCTCCTGCTTCAGCCTCCCAGAGTGCTGGGACCAGAGGCTGTGACCCCACGCCCAGGGCGACAGGCGCTTTATAAACCAGGGAAGTGGTGTTTGCAGCGGTCAAAGAATTTCCCAGGACGCGTCCCCGTGCAAGCGGGGCCAGGATTTGAATGCGGTTTCTTGATAGTCAGTGCACAGCCAGCCGCCTTCATCCTGACCTTTCCCCTCTGACCTCTGTCCCCTACTCCCCCGCAGGGCAATCTTGGGGTACCCGGTCTCCCAGGATACCCAGGCCGCCCGGGGCCTAAGGTAAGAAGCCGGAGAGCTGGGGCGAGTGCAGGAGGGCCTGGGGCGCTGGCTGAGGGCTGAGAGGTGGCCTGTCCAGCTCTTGGGTCACTTGAGAGAGTGTGAAATATGGGGTTTGGCATCAGATGTGTGCCCAAGGGCCCCTTGTTAGGACAGTGTGATTTTGAGTGTTGGCTCCTGTTGAGAAAGGGCGTTGCTGTGTGGCCAGGCTGGCCTGGAGCTCACAGCGATCCTCCTGCCTCAGCCTCCCGAGTGCGGGGTGACGGGTGTGCCCCACCACACCCGGCCAAAATACTGGGCACATTTCGCCAGGGTTTTGATGGATACACAGGAGATTTATCTTTCTGTTTAAACCACACCCAAGTGACCTCATGGGTCATATCACTGGCCGTGTACAGTAGATCAGGGATTTCAAGCCATCTGGAGACGAACCTGAGTGCGAAACTATTCCAAATATGCTTCTCTTCCCCTCTCAGCCGCCCTGGCTGACCTGCCTGCAGCCACTTGGACGGCAGCTTTTGCAGGAATTTCTTTTTATATTGAATCTGTTCCACGCAACCTGGTTTTGATAGTCGGATTTCTTTTCTTACAAACTTTCATTAAATCTCACGGAGCATAGAAGCGGGTTTGTGGATAAATTTAAGACGTCGCGGCCGAGTATCGAGCTTGACTTGTGAGCACAGAGGCTCGTGGGAGTTGGGGGAGAAGCTGCCCGCCAAGACCAATCAGAGTGTTCATCACTCAGGGCGAGGGAAGCGGCCTGCGGGGAGCTGAGGTCGTGATGACCCTTATGCGTTAATGCCGGCACATGAGTCAGCTCCACATTGCTATAAAGAAACACCTGACGCCAGGCGTGGCGGTGGATCCTGTAATTACAGCCCTCTGGGAGGCTGAGGCAGGAGGGTTGCAGGTTTGAACCCGGCCTGGGCAACTTGGAGACTTAGGGAAACCTTGTTTTAGAACCATAAAAATGGCTGGTGATGGAGCTCCGTGCAAAGGTCCTGGGTTCCATCCCTATGTTGCCCAAAATAAAGTTTATTTAGGTTACGGTTTTAGAGACTTCATGCCAGCTGGGCGAGGGGGCACAGGCCTGTCATGCGGGCATTTGGGAGGCTGAGGCAGGAGGATCCCTGCAAGTTGGAGGCCAGCCTGCTTTTCACAGTGAGCTCAAGGCCAGCTGGGACGATGTAGACAAAGTCTGTGCTGAAAAACCCGAACAACAACAGAAGAAGACGAGGCGGGGCGCGGGGTCCCACGCCCCTTTGAGGGGAACTGCCAATAGCCTGCAGGCCGCCCCCCAAGCCCCGCCTCCCGCGGCTGCCTGGCCTTCCAACAGCGCCACCTTGAGGGCGAAGCCTGTAACGCAGGGAGGCTCCGGTTCAGGCGGGCCGCTGTCTGCTCCGGGCTCACACCGTCCTGAGCCCCCAAAATCTTGCCACGAAGGTTTTGTTGGCATCGCAGGCTACACGCATGGAAACTGGTGCTTGGAGCAGCTAAAATGCTTGTACAGGGCACCCGGCTTATTAGGGGTGGGGTCTGGGGTCAGACTCAGATAAAAAAATCATAGGTTTTTTTCCGAAGGATCTTGCTGTGTAATACAGGCGGGCCTCGAACTTGCAGCGATCCTCCTGCCTCAGCCTCCCAAGTGCTGGGACTACAGATGCGCACCACCATGCCTGGCTAATAACGCATTTTGGTACAAGTATTTGAAATGAAAATCGGATCCGTTTCCTATTTTGTGACAGCCCAAGGATGACTTGGAGGAGGTGGTGGTCAGGATGGTGGCACAAGAGCGCCCAGGTGGCATCTAAGTGATGAGCAATAGCTGGCTTTGTGGAGGTCTGCAGGAGAGGCATTTTAGGCTTAGGGAGCAGCCTGTGCAAAGGTCCTGTGGCGGGGATGTGTTTGTGCCCTGAGAAGCACTGTGGAGGCCAGTGTGGCTGGATGCAGCAAGAAGTGGGGGGCGGGGGAGGAAGGGGGGCAGAGGCTGCCTTGGAGGATTCTAGGGCTTGAGGAAGTCGCTGGAATCGGAGGCTTGGGAAGGCCTCCGAGGACGGGGTGAGGGGCCCGAGGTACCCATCTGTCCCATCTCTTTCTCTGGTTCTCTCCACACAGGGATCTACGGGATTCCCCGGGGCCTTAGGGCCACTGGGAGAGAAAGGAAGGCGGGTGAGTCACGCCCCGGGTAGGGGCACGGTGTGGGGGGCTGTCTGAGAGGTAGGTGACCACCGCTGATGTGACCGCGCAGTGGCCTGTGATCACAGACACGTGCGCGTGTCTCCTGCACCCGTCTGTGCACGCGTGTGTTCCTGTGCACACCGAGCGTGCATGCTTGCTTGCACTGCCCTGGTACCTGGGCTCGGTGTGTGAACGAAACTCCTTCCGTGATTCAGGAGAGCACGGCTGTGTGTGTGTGTGTGTGTGTGTGTGTGTGTGTGTGTGTGCGTGTGTGAGCAGAGCTTGTGAGTAAGTGTGTGGCAGGCGTCCTCCTGGGTGTGACCGGGCTCATCTGTGTGGCCCTTGCACCCTAACTCCCCCGGGGTCCCCTCTGTGTTTCAGGGCAAGGCCGGCCAGCAGGGCCAGGACGGAGAGCGCGGCCCGCCCGTGAGCGCACAGGGAGCCGGCCGGGAGGGCGGGGGCCGGGCGGGCCACCGTGCAGGGGGGCCTGGACCTCGAGTCCTTCTCTAGGGTTGCTGACTTGTGTTTTTTGCCTTCTTTCTGTCCAGGGCGCCCGTGGAGAGAGGGGCCAGCCGGGGGCCACGGGACAGCCAGGCCCCAAGGTACGGGGACCCTCCTGCCTCAGCTTCCCTGGACGCCCCACACCTCAAATCTGAGTTTGTTCTTTCTCTCTGTCCTAGGGTGATGTGGGCCAGGATGGGTCCCCAGGAGTCCCTGGAGAAAAGGTGAGTGTGTGTGTTAATGTGTGTGTGTTTGCACGTGTGTTTCTGAGCAGGGCACAGGCCCAGGGAGACTTCATAATGCGGAGGCCAGAATGCAGCCTCTGAGATCCGAGAGCCAATTCAGTCCTGGTTGGTTCACTCACCAGCTGTGTGTCCCTGGGGCGGTCACTTAACCTCTCTGTGCCCTGATTTCTTCTGTAAAACTGCAGTGACCCCAGGCTCCACCCCGACAGAGGTGGATGAAATTATTTTTATTGTTGTTGTTGATTTTTTGTTTTTTGGATCTTGCTATAGAGCCCAGGCCGGCCTCAGATTCCCAGTGGGCCTCCCACCTCAGCCTCTCAGGGGCTGGGGTTACCAGGGTGCCCCACCAGGCCTGGCTAGAAATCACTGGTTGTGTGGGGAGCGTCGGCATGGGGTTGGGGTATGCAGTAGGCGCTCAATGTGTGCTGGCTTCCTGCGCTGTTGTGGGCTCAGGAGGAACCAGGTAATGACTTGTGCTCCCTTTCAGGGTCTCCCGGGATTGCAAGGCCCCCCCGGATTCCCTGGGTCAAAGGGCCCCCCTGTGAGTGAGGTCACCCCGGTTGGGGTCAGGTGGAGGGAGGCCGGGAAAAAGACTCTAAGACTCTTCCACCTTGTTCCCCAGGGTCCCCAAGGCAAAGATGGGGTACCGGGGCACCCCGGACAGAGAGGAGAGTTGGTGAGCGACCTTTTCACTTTGACCCCTGACCTTATTAGGCCCTCCTCCCATGTGACCCCCTTTTATTTTTCTCCAGGGCTTCCAAGGTCAGACAGGCCCACCTGGACCCGCGGGTGTCTTGGGCCCTCAGGTCGGAGTGGATCCCATTGTGCAGCAGTTGGGGGGCCCCGAGGAGGAGGCTGGGTCTGGGTCTCTGACAGCTTCCTCCCCGCAGGCCACCTCAGTCTAATGTACCCTCTTTCTCTGCAGGGAAAGATAGGAGATTCGGGGGCCCCGGGTGAGAGGGGGCACCCTGGCCCCCCCGGGCCTCCAGGCGAACACGGGCTACCGGGCCCGGAAGGCGGGGAGGGGGCCAAGGTGAGACCCTGCCCTGTTGCCCAGACCCCAAGGTCCCTTTGATGGCCCTGAGGCCACCTCGGGGCTGGCAGTCTGCCCTCTGGGAGGTTCTAGGGTCACAGATCAGCAGGAGACCACCCCACCCCTCTCCACAGGGAGAACCAGGACCCTTGGGGCCTGCCGGGAAGGAGGGCCCGCTGGGGCTGAGGGGCCTGCCCGGCCCCAAAGGAGCTCCCGGGGACCCTGTGAGTATCTTTAGGGGACCCAGCCACGTGTCCGTGGAACCCAGGGTGCAGACTCTGGAGTCTCCTGACTGTGTCAATCCTGCCTCAGGGACCCCCTGGATTGAAGGGTGACAAAGGGCCCCCGGGTCCTGTGGGGGCCAATGTAAGTAACACTGCTTCTGCGGGGCGGGGGGAAGGCTAGGGGGTTGCGGGGAACATGGATATTTGTCGTGATGGAGCTTGTCACCCTGGAGTCAGGCAGACCTGGCCACACTCAGCCCTGCTGCTCTTTGGCTGGGCAGTTGTGTCACTGGTGGGCCTCAGTTTCCCTATCTGTAAAATAGCCACGATGAGACACTTCCCATCTCATTCATGACCTTCAGATTCCTGGCAACCTCCTGCCTCAGCCTCCTGACGTACAAGCTGTGAAGCAAAAACAGCCAGAAGACAGGCTGAGGCAGGAGGGTTTCTAGTGCAAGGCCAGCCCGAGCGACACGGGGAGACCCCGTTTCCAAACACACAAGAATGTAAACAACTTCCCTGACCCTCTGCTCTGTTTGCAGGGCTCCCCCGGTGAGCGGGGTCCCCTGGGCCCATCAGGTGGCATTGGGCTTCCTGGCCAGAGTGGCGGCCAAGGCCCCGTGGGTCCTGCAGGCGAGAAGGGGGCCCCGGTGAGTGTCCCCCACGTTCCCTTCCCCCGCATCCCAGGACCCCTTCCTGCCCCACACAGAGACGATGGCTTTGCACCCCCAGGGAGAACGCGGTGCCCCGGGCCCCACCGGAAAGGACGGGGTCCCGGGTCCCCTGGGGCCTCAGGGCCCCCCTGGAGCAGCCGGACCTGTGGGCGAGGACGGGGACAAGGTGAGGGGCGCAGGGCGGGGACGGGGAGGCGCAGTGGGGACCCCGCTGACACCGTGTCCCCTGCAGGGGGAGGTGGGCCACCCGGGCCACAAGGGCAGCAAAGGCGACAAGGGAGATGCGGTGAGTGGGGGCACCCTGGTGACAGGGGTGGCCCTGAGGGAGGGCGGAGGAGCCGGGGTGTGAGGAGGTGGGCAGGGATCGGAGGCCGCAGCGCACCCCGCTACCGGCTGCATGTGGCTGGAGAGCAAAGCTGGGTGCACCGCTGGGTGCACCGCTGGGTCCCGGTGAGGTCACTTCCGGTGGGCGGGGCATGCTAATGAGGGGCGTGGCCAGGGAGATATTGATGGACGTGTCTAGGGCCGCTCGTCCTGGGATCAGGAACCCAGGGAATGTCCTGTTCTGTTCCCTCCTGCAGGGCCCACCCGGACCCACGGGCCTGAGGGGTCTCGCGGGACACCCAGGACCCGCGGTGAGTGCTCGCAGCTTTGTGACCCCCTGGGGCCCGGCCCCCACCCACCTGGCTGCACCCTCAATACCCCGGATCCCAGTCTCAGCTGAGAGATTCGTGGCCATGTCGCTGGCGCTGCTTGGCACCTGGCGAGAGCTTTTTGCTGTCATACATGGCACAGGGTCCCTACCCTCATGGTCTCACTTTGTCCTGATCACCTCTCACAGGCTCTGCCTTCAAATGCCGCTTAAGAGCCAGCAGGGTGGTGCACACCTGTGGTTATAGCACTCGGGAGGCTGAGGCAGGAGGATCTCTGTGAATTCAAAGCCAGCCTGAACTGCATAGCAAGACCCTGCCTCAAAACAAACAAGCAAAAAACCCCCAAAATAAAAAACCAGCTCCTCCCCAGACAAATTTTGACCCAAGCCTCAGCTTCATTCCTAAAGTAGGACCTTAACCCAGACGAACCCCAGCTCCAAACTGGGTCCTCACCCTGCCCAAACTGAACCCTGACTCCAGCCCTTGACCCCAATCCTGACCCTTGTCCCTCCCCAGGGAGCTGATGGAACTCAGGGACGCCGCGGACCCCCAGGCCTCTTTGGGCAAAAAGGCGACGACGGAGTCCGAGGCTTCACGGGGGTGAACGGCCCCCCAGGCCCTCAAGTGGGTGTCTGGGTTTGGGGGTGACATCTCGGTCCCCGCCCCCACGGTGTGCTCCAATCGTGCCCTTTCGTTCCACAGGGGCTGCCAGGACCCCCTGGAGAAAAAGGGGAGGTCGGAGACGTGGGCTCCATGGTACGGGCGCCCTGGGGACGTGGGGGAGGCGGGGTTGCGCGGGGCGGGGACTTTTAGGGCCATTCAGGGGCTCACGGGCCACGTGACGGTTCTCAGGGTCCTGCAGATCACTGGTAGCACGGTGTGGTCACCGGGGTGTTTATGGCTGTGGGGTCACTGGGTACATTTTGGTTCCTCTGCAGGGTCCGCATGGAGCACCAGGTCCTCGGGGTCCCCATGGCCCCAGCGGGTCAGAGGTAAGGACTCTGGGGGCCTCAGGTGGAACCCCCATTCCCCAGTCGATTGTTGGGGTTCCGCGCAGTCATCTCTACCCCTGCTGCCCAGGGTCCACCGGGGCTTCCTGGCGGTGTCGGTCAGCCTGGTGCGGTGGGAGAGAAGGTGAGTGAGAGATCGGTTCCCTTCCTGGTGGAGGGAAATGTGTTCTTCTTGGGGCGGCTGTTCTGGGGAGTCCCTCTCTGTGCTCATGTTCCTCCTACAGGGAGAGCCAGGAGATGCCGGGGACCCAGGACCTCCGGGACCCCCAGGAATTCAGGTGAGTGGTGCCTGGAGTCCTCTCAGGGAAGCCCTGACCCCTGGGTGTGTCAGGCCACCTTGACAGCGGGAATCCCGGGCTGTCCACTGACCCAGGGCCTCCGGGCCTCCCTGGCTACTTTGATGAAAGCAGGTCTCGAGAGGGCTGCTGTGTAAGGTTCCTCAGGATGTGCACTGCTCAAGGGCGTGCAGGGCTGCCCGGGCGGCCTGTGCTCAAATTCAAACAATGAGACCTGGCTGGGGCCCGAATGGCCCAGAGGGAACCCCTTTAATTCATTCCAGGGGAGCACACGGGCTAGAACAACTTTGCCCTTGATGGTGGATGATTGGCCCCTCCATAAGGCCTAGGCCTCCCTGACATCTAACCCTTGGGAAGTTTAAACCTAGGCCTCGGGCTGACCTCTGACCCCAGAAAAGTCCTGGAGAGGGCAAACCACCCTGACCTTTGACCTCTGCTTCTGCAAAGGGACCCAAAGGTGAAGTTGGTGAAAAGGGCGACTCAGGTCCATCTGGTGCTGCTGGACCGCCGGGCAAGAAAGGTCCTCCTGGAGAGGATGGACCCAAGGGGCACATGGTGAGCCTGGGGAGACGGAGGCAGAGACGGGGGGCGCCGAGCCCCCTGGGTGCTCCTCAAAACTTCTAGCCGGGGATCCCTCCAGTTTGCGGATCCTGTGAGGGCTGGACTGTGGCTGGCTGGCTGGACAGGCGGATGGAGGGATGGATGGAAGGAGGGGAACATGGATGGACAGCGGGCCAGTTAATGACAGTGAAGGGGGTTAGTGGATGGCGGATGGATGGAACCATAGATGACGGACACGTGAATGGATGCGTGATGGATGAATGAATGGGTGGACAGGTGGGTGGAGGGATGTGTGGGTGAGCAGATGGATGGGCAGGTGGGTGGATGGATGGGCAGGTGGGTGGATGGGTGGGCAGGTGGGTGGAGGGATGTGTGGGTGAGCAGATGGATGGGCAGGTGGGTGGATGGGTGGGCAGGTGGGTGGATGGGTGGGCAGGTGGGTGGAGGGATGTGTGGGTGAGCAGATGGATGGGCAGGTGGGTGGATGGATGGGCAGGTGGGTGGATGGATGGGCAGGTGGATGGAGGGATGTGTGGGTGAGCAGATGGATGGGCAGGTGGGTGGATGGATGGGCAGGTGGATGGATGGGTGGGCAGGTGGGTGGATGGATGGACAGGTGGGTGGAGGGATGTGTGGGTGAGCAGATGGATGGGCAGGTGGGTGGATGGATGGGCAGGTGGATGGATGGGTGGGCAGGTGGGTGGATGGATGGACAGGTGGGTGGATGGATGGGCAGGTGGGTGGATGGATGGGCAGGTGGGTGGATGGATGGACAGGTGGGTGGAGGGATGTGTGGGTGAGCAGATGGATGGGCAGGTGGGTGGATGGATGGGCAGGTGGGTGGATGGATGGGCAGGTGGATGGAGGGATGTGTGGGTGAGCAGATGGATGGGCAGGTGGGTGGATGGATGGGCAGGTGGATGGATGGGTGGGCAGGTGGGTGGATGGATGGACAGGTGGGTGGAGGGATGTGTGGGTGAGCAGATGGATGGGCAGGTGGGTGGATGGATGGGCAGGTGGATGGATGGGTGGGCAGGTGGGTGGATGGATGGACAGGTGGGTGGAGGGATGTGTGGGTGAGCAGATGGATGGGCAGGTGGGTGGATGGATGGGCAGGTGGGTGGATGGATGGGCAGGTGGATGGATGGGTGGGCAGGTGGATGGATGGGTGGGCAGGTGGATGGAGGGATGTGTGGGTGAGCAGATGGATGGGCAGGTGGGTGGATGGATGGGCAGGTGGGTGGATGGATGGGCAGGTGGATGGATGGGTGGGCAGGTGGGTGGATGGATGGACAGGTGGGTGGAGGGATGTGTGGGTGAGCAGATGGATGGGCAGGTGGGTGGATGGATGGGCAGGTGGATGGATGGATGGGCAGGTGGGTGGATGGATGGGCAGGTGGGTGGATGGATGGGCAGGTGGGTGGATGGATGGGCAGGTGGATGGATGGGTGGGCAGGTGGGTGGATGGATGGACAGGTGGGTGGAGGGATGTGTGGGTGAGCAGATGGATGGGCAGGTGGGTGGATGGGCAGGTGGGTGGAGGGATGTGTGGGTGAGCAGATGGATGGGCAGGTGGGTGGATGGATGGGCAGGTGGGTGGATGGATGGGCAGGTGGGTGGATGGATGGGCAGGTGGATGGATGGGTGGGCAGGTGGGTGGATGGATGGACAGGTGGGTGGAGGGATGTGTGGGTGAGCAGATGGATGGGCAGGTGGGTGGATGGGCAGGTGGGTGGAGGGATGTGTGGGTGAGCAGATGGATGGGCAGGTGGGTGGATGGATGGGCAGGTGGATGGATGGATGGGCAGGTGGGTGGATGGATGGGCAGGTGGATGGACAGGTGGGTGGATGAATGAGTAGATGGATGGATGGATGGATGGATGGATGGATGGACAGGTGGATGGATGGACGGGTGGATGGATGGACAGGTGGGTGGAGGGATGGACAGGTGGGTGGATGGATGGGCAGGTGGATGGATGGGTGGGCAGGTGGGTGGATGGATGGGCAGGTGGGTGGATGAATGAGTAGATGGATGGATGGATGGATGGACGGACAGGTGGATGGATGGGTGGGCAGGTGGGTGGAGGGATGTGTGGGTGAGCAGATGGATGGGCAGGTGGGTGGATGGATGGGCAGGTGGGTGGATGGATGGGCAGGTGGATGGATGGGTGGGCAGGTGGATGGATGGGTGGGCAGGTGGATGGAGGGATGTGTGGGTGAGCAGATGGATGGGCAGGTGGGTGGATGGATGGATGGATGGATGGACAGGTGGATGGATGGGTGGGCAGGTGGATGGATGGGTGGGCAGGTGGATGGAGGGATGTGTGGGTGAGCAGATGGATGGGCAGGTGGGTGGATGGATGGGCAGGTGGGTGGATGGATGGGCAGGTGGATGGATGGGTGGGCAGGTGGATGGATGGGTGGACAGGTGGGTGGAGGGATGTGTGGGTGAGCAGATGGATGGGCAGGTGGGTGGATGGATGGATGGATGGATGGACAGGTGGATGGATGGGTGGGCAGGTGGGTGGATGGGTGGGCAGGTGGGTGGATGGATGGATGGATGGATGGACAGGTGGATGGATGGATGGATGGACAGGTGGATGGATGGACGGGTGGATGGATGGACAGGTGGGTGGATGGGTGGATGGGTGGATGGATGGATGGATGGATGGGTGGATGGACAGGTGGGTGGATGGGTGGATGGATGGATGGGTGGATGGAGAGGTGGATGCATAGATGGATGGATGAATGAGTAGATGGATGGATGGATGGATGGACGGACAGGTGGATGGACAGGTGGATGGATGGATGCATGGATGGATGGATGGATGGATGGATGGATGGACAGGTGGATGGATGGATGGATGGATGGATGGATGGATGGATGGATGGACAGGTGGGTGGATCCCACACACAGCACTGTATGGGGGAGCTTGAATTCACCCTGAGTCACTGTAGCCTTGTTGGAGAGGCCGAGTGACGCTGGCTCAGATCTGGGGTTGATGTGAAGTTGGCCCTGGGGTGCAGGTTGAAGCCTTTCTCCAGGCTTGGTGTGGTTTGAGGTGGGTCCTCTGCCTGCTGTGTCCCTCTGGGGCCCGCGGAGGCCTCGGGGAGGATGAGGTGAGGAGGCACATGGGACAGGCTTAGCTCAGTGCCTGCCCAGGTAAACCCCGGCAGCTCCCTCGGCGTCGGGGTCCTGCGTGCCGGGCAGCGCGAGCCGGGACAGTTTACCCGCTCAGGCAGCGGTGAGAGAAAGGCTCGTCTCACCCCAGAGATGCCATCGTGAACTTCTGTGTTCCAGGGCCTCATGGGGATGCCTGGAGATCTAGGGCCCCCGGGAGACCCTGGGCCTCCAGTGAGTGTCACCCCTTTCCCCAAGCCCAGCACGTTCCCTACTTCTGTCCCCCCCAAGCCACAGACCTGGGCAAGGTCCACGGGCCCCACCCCGAATCCTCATGGACCCCAAGAACTTTCTGTGATCCCTCCCAACTCTGTCTCCTCTGGCCCCCACAGGGTATGGATGGCTCTCTGGGGACGAAGGGAGACCCCGGTGATGTTGGGGCACCGGTGAGTGGGGGGACAGAGGATGCGGTGTGGCGGGGGGTTTGGGGGGTGAACTGGGGAGCAGTGGGGTGGGTTTGTGGGCTCTTGGGGCCCCTGCATATGCTCCTGCTTTGCCTCTCTGGGGCCCCCCTGAATAAGGGCAACTTGGGGGTCCTCAGGAGATGGGGTGCAGGGTGGAGCCCGTCTGCCATGTCCTGGCCGATAACAAACTGCCCTGCTCCCCACAGGGGCCGCCTGGTGCTTCTGGGGAACCTGGTGCCCCGGGACCCCCTGGCAAGAGGGTGAGTGATAGCCCATCCCGGGTGCCCTGGCTCGGCCCTCAGAACCCCCTGACTCCAGGGGTCGCCGTCCCCCCGCAGCACCCTCCCACACACCTCTCCTCCTCAGGGTCCCTCAGGCCGTGTGGGTCGAGAAGGCCCAGAAGGGGAGAAGGGTGTCAAGGTGAGCGCCAGTGTCCCCTCTGCTGGTGGCCCCAGGGTCAGGAGATGGCACCCTCCCAGCCCCCGTCACCCGGTCTGTTTCAGGGGCAGCCAGGGCCGGACGGGCCCCCAGGGAGGACAGGGCCCCCGGGGGCGCAAGGGCCCCCTGGACGTGCCGGGCCCGAGGGCCTTCAGGGGATCCCGGGCCCTGTGGTGAGTGGGGTGACCCGGGTGGACGGTGGGTGGTCCTGCCTCACGTGCTCGTCCTGAGCCTGGGGGTGGGTGGGCGCGTCCACACTGGCTGTGGCCCCGAATGGCCACTTTGTTCTGTTCCATCCACAGGGAGAACCGGGCCTCCTGGGCCCCCCGGGGCTGATTGGCCCCCCAGGACCCCTGGTAAGAGATGGCTTCGTCCCTGAGGTCGCCCAGTGACCACCCAGAGACCCCTCACTGACCGTCTACACTGGCCATGTCTCCTGAACATCTCTCCTGACCATCCGTGGTCAGGAGCCTTCGTGGTCTGCACTGGCCACCAGTCCTGGTCCCCTCTTCTGTCCCCACGGACCTGGCCACCCCAACCACCCCTTCCCACGCTTGTCTCCATCCTGTGCCCCCACGATGGCATCCCCACTGGAAACAGGGAATTTCCATTAGAAGTCACCCCCTCACCCCAAGGCCTCTGGCTTTACCTCGAGTCACCACCAACACTTTGTCCCCACCCAGGGTCCGCCGGGCCTCCCAGGGCTGAAGGGAGATGCTGGCCCGAAGGGGGAGAAGGTGAGGGCCCCTCCCGCCATGCCCCCCACACCCCGCCCTGCCGGCCCCCCGTCCCCCACCCCTGCCCTCCTGTGTGTGTCCCTCCAGGGCCACCTGGGACTGCAGGGCCTCATAGGCCCCCCTGGCGAGGCCGGGGAGAAAGGAGACCGGGGGCTTCCGGGCGTGCAGGGCCCCCGAGGCCCCCAGGGAGACCCCGTAAGTGTCCTCCCCGGTAGGGAGGTCGGCTCCAATGTGGGGTTGGGGTGGCTGGGGAGGCAAAGGGTGGGGGGCGCTTGGAGACAGCAGGCCGTGGGGTTGGGGGTCAGGAGTGGGAATCTGGGGTGCTGTATCTGGCAACTTGCAAGTGGGGGGCTGAGTCTAGGATGTGGGGGTCTCTCTGGAGACCTGACTAGGGTTTGGGGTCTCCTTCTGGGCCACTGAAGGCTCCTGAACACTGACTCTCCTGTCCCTTCCCAGGGGTCCCGTGGTCCTGCGGGCTCTGCAGGGCCCCCCGGGTCCCCCGGCGTGGCGGTGAGTATGGGGGGATTGTGGGGTGCGGTCACCACGCCAGGCCTGGCTGGGACCCAGATCTCTGTGTCTCCACCCCGCAGGGCCCCGTGGGACACAAAGGCTCCAAAGGGTCCCCGGTGAGTCCCCTTGCTCCCCAACAAGCCCCCGAGTCCCCCTTGCCTCCCCCAGCCACACCCCAACATTCACCCAACCCGATGCCCTTTCATCAGACCTGAGACACCCTTACTTTACACCTGTTGATCTGGGGACTAGAAAATAGGGGAGAGAAATGTGGGTGCTGCTGCTTAGCACGGAGCACGGCTTGGGGTGTGTGTGCCCTCGTGGGGGAAGGTGGGGTCCCCACGCACAGGCCTCACCCCAAACCGACCTCTCCTCCAGGGATCCCTGGGTCCTCCCGGAGACACTGGACCCCCAGGACCTCCCGGCCCCCCTGTGAGTTCCCCTGGAGGACACCAGATCTGGGGACACGGAGGGGGACAGTGGTTTGGGGGTTCCGTGGGGTCCCCCAGAGCGCGGAGGCCAGGTGTTGAGGGATCCAGGTGACCAGGGAGGGAAGGGGTGGCCTGTCCGTCCTCCTCCTCCACCTCCCGGGTCTCCCCCACTTCCCCCTACCCCATCCGTGCCCAGGGTCCCCCGGGCGAGCTCCGCGGGCTGCACAGACGCAGACGCCGCCGCGCGGTCCCGGAGGGCGGCCTGGAGGAGGTGCTGGCCTCGCTGGCCTCGCTGGGCTCCGAGCTGGAGCAGCTGCAGCGGCCGCCGGGCACCGCCGAGCGCCCGGGCCTGCTGTGCCGGGAGCTGCACCGCCATCACCCGCAGCTGCCCGACGGTCAGCCGGGCTCCACTCCCGCGGGCTGGGCTGGGCCGGGCTGGGCCGGGCTCGGGGGGGGGGGGGGGGACCCCACCTCCGCTCACCGGCCGCTGGCTCCCCAGGCGATTACTGGATCGACCCGAACCAGGGCTGCGCGCGGGATGCGATCAGGGTTTTCTGCAACTTCACGGCCGGAGGCCAGACCTGTCTGTACCCAGACAAGAGGTTTGAGACGGTGAGCGGGATCCACAGCCGGGCCCCTCCCTCCTCCGCCCGGCATCGATTTTATTTTATTTTATTTTATTATTTTTTGAGCCACCGTAGCTGTGTAGTTCAGGCAGGCCGTCCACACCCAGCGATCCTCCTGCCTCAGCCTCCTGAGTGCTGGGGCTACAGGTGTGCCGCACCACGGCTTGTTATAGAAACCCTGGAGTTCTTCACCCGGGAGACCTGAGCCTGTGGCCTCCCCATGCAAGTGCCAGCTTTAGCCAAAAGGCAGAGCAAGGGGCGCGTGGCGTGGACCCTGAACCCTGGAGGCCCGGGGTTGGAATGTGGAGCTCTTGCCTGGGTTTTTCCATCTGTAAAATGGAGCTCGAGAAAGTCACTGGGTATGGCTCAGGAGGCTGAGGCAGGAGGACCACACGTCCAAAGCAGCCTGAGTAAGAGTCTGTCTCGAAATAAAAAGGGTCAGGGACTAGCGTGTGGGAATTGTCCGAGGGACGCCGCCGGGGTCTTTGTGCACATCCCCCCGGCATGGGTGAGGGGGAAGCCCAGCCCCTCAGCCCGCAGCCCTGAGGAGGCAGGTGCCCAGGGACGGGGTGGGCACGGGGGCACCTGCAGCAGCGACCCTCCCTCCTCACCCAGGTGAAGCTGGCGTCCTGGTCCAAGGAGAAGCCCGGAAGCTGGTACAGCACCTTCCGGCGGGGGAAGAAGGTGAGGCCGGAGCCAGAGTGGCCCCGGGGACACCCGTTGCTCTGCTGTGGGGATCAGGGGGACCAGGGAGGGGAGCGAGGCGGAGAAGAGTTAATGAGGCCCAGAAAGACCCGGGGGCAGTAGGGAGCCACGGCGTGTGCTTGAGTGAGGGAGGTACCCGGAGCCAATCTCTGCCTCAGACAAATGTGTGGGCCGGGGCCTGGAGACCCCGGAGGAGATGGGGGTGCAGGAGGAGGGACGTGTGGGGGATGGGAATTCAAAGAATGGTGGCGGGGCACAGTGTGGCTGTCCAAGTCAGCAGGGCTTTGTAGTTGACCGGATGCAGGACAGAGGAGCTGGAGCCGCTGGCCTGGGGGTCTCTGCTTGGCCCCCCTCGGAGGTGTGTCATGACAGGCACCGGCTCGAGGGCCGCTGGGTTAAGTTAGGGTTCGTGTATGTAACATGGATGCACCCTAAGCCCTGCGAGCCGCAGCAAACCAGTGTGTCTGATTTCACAATGTGAAATGGGGACGTACACTGAGCTGAGAAGTGATCCCAGGAAACGGTGTGACGGCGCACGCCTGTCAGCCAGCGCTCAGGAGGCTGAGGCGGGAGGATCTCAGGTGCAGGCCAGCCTGGGGAACTTAGACCGGGTCTCAGAACAGGGCTGGGGATGGAGGTCAGTGCAAAGGCCCTGGGTTCCATCCCCACGCTCTGGGGCAGCGGCGAGAAGGGGCTGAAGGCTCACCCTCACCCCCCTGCCTGGCTGCACCCCAGTTCTTCTACGTGGACGCCGATGGGGCCCCGGTCAGCGTGGTCCAGCTGAACTTCCTCAAACTGCTGAGCGCCTCGGCCGAGCAGCGGTTCACGTTCTCCTGCCAGAACGCGGCCGCCTGGCTGGACGAGGCCGCGGGTGACCACGGCCGCTCGGTCCGATTCCTGGGGACCAACGGCGAGGAGGTGTCTTTCAACCAGACGGCGGCGGCCACCATCGAGGTCCCGCACGACGGCTGCCGGGTGAGGTGCAGGGGCAGGGCAGGCCGGGCTGAGCGCTGGGGGTCCGGCTCGCGCCTCTGATGTCCCCTGCGTGTCCTCCCAGCTCCGCAAGGGCCAGGCGAAGACCGTCCTGCAGCTGCGGTCCTCCCGGCCCGGCTTCCTGCCGCTGCTGGACGTGGCGGCCTCGGACTTCGGCCAGGCGAACCAGAAGTTCGGGTTTGAGCTGGGCCCCGTCTGCTTCAGCAGCTGAGTGCCCAGGGGTGCGGACGATGGTGAAGGAGCCCCGTGCGGGCACATCTGGTGCTGAGGCTCGAAGCGGCCTATCCATCATCTCCTGGGACCCCGCAGCCCGGCGATGGACGCTGTGTGTCACCGTCCCGTGCTGTCCTTCGTCCCCTCGGAGGGATGGCGGGACAGGGACTCCCCACGCGGCCCCCGGGGCCCGGCTCTGGGCGCCATCGCTGTGCCAGGCCCTTCCTGTCCCCTCCCGTGCCCTCCCAGAGCCCCCACGCCATGAGCTTCTAACTCCGCGCCACCCGCCGCACCCTGGGGTGCCACCCTGACCCCTATAGTTAAGCACTGGATGTCCGTTGGCGCCAAGCTGGGGCCCCCGCTCACCCCGTTCCCAGGTGGGACCTCGGGGAAGGGCCCGAGTGTGTCTCCGCACCCCCAGCTCCCCTTAGCCGCCCCCCAGATCCCGAGCTCACCTTGCTATGCCAGGTGTCGGACCAGGACGGTGGCGGTGACCCCGGACCCTAATGGTGCTGTCCCATTTATCCCCGGGTCTGCAGGGAAGGGGGAGCCCCTCTGTTGTGTATTTAATCTGCTTCCTCCTTAGGGAGGGCTGAGACGGGAGACAGATTCAGCACCCGCTTTCCCCCGTTCACCAGGCCTTAGGGCAAAATTGGCATCTCAAGTCAGAGTAAACCAGTGAACTGTGTCCCCGTCTCTCTCTCTCTCTCTCTCTCTGTCTTGTCTTTGCAGGCCTGGAGGTTAAACCCAGGGCCTTTGCACTGAGCACACTCTCAGCCCTTCTTTATTTCTTATTTTGAGGCAGGATTTCACTAGTTCACTAGATTACCTAACCTGGGTTCGAAGTCGAGACCCTCCTGCCTCAGCTTCTCAGAGTGCTGAGACTGCAGGCATGTGCCACCATGCCCAGCTTCTGTGTTAAATAGTCAGGAATCCGTGGCTGGCTTTGCCCTAGCTGCTGGATTAAGAGGTCACCATCAAGGCAGGCATCATGGCAAAGGCCAGTAATCTTAGCACTCTGGAAGGCCGAGGCAGGACGTTCAAAAGTTTGAGACAAACCATCTTGGACAACTCAGCAGCTTGGTGCGACCCTGTCTCAAAAAGTAAAAAGAGGTCTGGGATGTGACTCAGTGCAAAGGCCCTGCGGTCAGTCCCCAGTACCGCAGAAGAACAAAATGGAGTTTGAAATTGGCTGTTGCACTGAATTGCGTTAGGGTCGATTTGAGACATGGGGTTCTGTGGTGGGGGTGGCCTTGGCATCGTAGGGTTCAGCCGAGCCTCAGTTAGGATGAGGTTGGATCTGGGGGTAACCTGAATTGAGGGTTAGCTGCTGTGCTGGGGTTTTAATAGCAGGTTTATTATGATATAATTCACATGCGTGTCATGCGATGTATAATTAAATGGGTTTTAGTGTATTCAAACTTGTGTAACCATCGCCACATCGTTGACTAATTTCATCATGCCCCGAAGAAATCCCAGGGCCAGAGCAACTGTTTCTCTTTCTTGCCAACTCCCAGCCCCGGGCAGCCAGTTACCTGTTTCCTGGCATAGATTTGTCTCTGCGGGGCTTTTGTGAGGCGAATCAGGTAACTCGTGGCCTTTTGTGTGGTTGTTTTCACGTGGTTCATTTTGTGGCAGGCATCGGCATTTCGCTGGGTTTTAATTCCTTTTCTCTCCCTACGACTTGGGGTGGAACCCAGGGGCTTTACCTGAGCTCTGTCCCCAGCTTTTTTGATTTTTTATTGTAAGTCTGGGTTTCAGGGAGTCGCTCAGTTAACCCAGGCTGAGTTTGAGCTTGTGATCCTCCTGCCTCAGCCTCCCAGAGTGCCGGGATTACAAGGGTGCTTTTTGATTGTCAGTCAAGCTTCCTTTTGTTTCTTGTAATCCACTTACTGGAGGACAGACGGTGGACACTGTTAGGTGGAGATTCGTTAGTGGTACAGAGGACTGGGGTGAGTGGAGCTGGAAGACAGGATCAGGTGGGTAGAGGTTTTGGGGAGTTTCAGAGCTTGGCAGGTGTAGGGGTGCGTGCTTGTCATTCAGGAATTGGGAGGCTGAAGCAGGAAGATGGCTGAGTTCAAGGCCACCCTGGACTACATAGTGAATTTCAGGCCAGGTTGGGCTACACAGAGAGACCCTGTCCCAAGGAAACAAACAGATAAAACCCAGAGCAATTTCCCCGAGGCCGTCTGAATTCATGTCCTGGGTTCCCTCATTCATTCAGTCAATGAATGCTGACTAGGAAGACGGATGGTGTCCCAGGCCAGATGAGCAGTGCACCCCTTCAATCCGCCCTCTCCTTGGTTCATTCACTCAGTTCTGGGGAGTTCTCCATGCTAAATGCCGACAGTGGGTGCCTCTCTTCAGGGTGTCACTCCTGAGGGAAACGCAGTACACAGATTAGTGGCTGCTCCAGCGCTGAAAAACATGGTGACTGTTCACGTGTTTAAAAATTACGTCCGCCAAAGGCACAGTTCGTGGGTCTCCCCTTGAAGTCCCCTCCCCTGCCTCAAGGGCGCTTGTCTCCTCCTTCCCGCGCTTTGTGGATCATTCTGGAGTCCTTCACAGTGTCTGTCCTTGCACTGTCCTGGCCGCTGCTTCGATGTCCTGAATCGCCTCAAAACAGTTACCTTTCCTGGTCATTTTGGCTCAAGGGAGGACCCAGAACTCCTCCCACGGTGCTAGACCTCACCAATGAGGTGCATGAGGGCCCGCTGCATGTTTTAAAGAGCAGTCTTTCCATTGGATGGCACTCCAGGCTAATTAGCATATCTGTTGTTACACCCAATAAGGGCGGTTCCCCTAATCAGCCTTACCTCAGGATTGCACAGGGAAGCGCGGGGACTAGCTCAGGGCTGAGCGCTCGCCTGTCAGGCGTGAGGCCGGGGTGGGATCCCCAGCGCCATAAATAAATAGATCAATAAAATGTATGTGGTGATGTTAATGCGGTTGACTGTTTTCCTTTCCCTGGACACATATAACTGAAAATAGGTTTCTCTGTTTCCTTTGGAGTTGGGTTGGGGCCATACGGTCGGGTCTTAGAGGATAGGATATGAGTTTCTACGAAATCCCCTGCTCAATCCTCTGCCCTGTTTCCTGCCTCTGTAAAAGGGAACCTTGGGGGCCGTTTGTGTAAAATAGGGTGCCACAGTCACTCTGAAGACTCTGGGCCCCCTGCTCTCATCCTTACCCCTTATTTGCATAGAATCTACACGCATCCCCCTGTGGACTTCAGGCTTGGGCTACTGTGGAGCTCGGTGGTGGAGTGCTTGCCTGGCATGAGGGAGACTCTAGGTTCCATCCCCGGCACTGCAAAAATAAATAAATTCTCAGCACAGTGTGGTGATGCACGCCTGTCATCCCAGCACTGGGAGGCTGAGGCAGGAGGATCACCATGAGTCCGAGGCCAATCTGGCCTACATAGTGAGTCCAAGGCCAGCCCAAGCTGTAATACCCAAAACGATATAAATGTTCTAAAAATACTTGCTGTGTTGTATTGTGCAGAAAAATGCTGCGCATGTTTAGAATAGAGGCAAATTTCCTGAATATCTTCAATCTGTGATTGATTGGATCCATAAATACGGAATCAATCCGTGAATACTGAGTGGCAGTGACTTGTGGAATTTGAAAAGGGGCTGGTTGTCAGAGTCACTGCTCACAGACCTTCCTCAGGCGGTGTATATGAACAAGAAATGACTTGATGGTCTTACGATGTCCAGGTTTTTGGGGCTGCTTGTTACAGCAGCTATCGTCAGTTATACTGACTCATACATTGAGCACACCCGGCTTTCACCAAAGGCGGGCGTGGGAGCCTGTGTGAGAACCAAGATCCGCTGCTGGAAAGTGAACACATTTAAACTGAGTGTGAATGTCTTGCCTCAGCCGTCCCCAGCACTGTGACCCTGTCCCTGGAAATCCGCTGTCCCTGAGTCTGGATTCCTCACCTCCTGCCCTTCCTCCTCTCCTCTCCTCTGACATCTGCGTTTACCTTGCTTTTCAGGCTGTCGACATTAACGTCTCCCTTTTTTATATGTGATATTGGGGTTCCAGCCCAGGCCTCCCACCTACTCGGCAGGCATCGCGGAGCTGAACTGCGCTCCCCTCCTTTAAAAGAAAACTTGACTTTGAGACAGGCTTTCGTTAAGTTGCCTGAGCAGGTCCCGAGTGTCTGGGGTTAGGCATGCACAGCGGGGCTCACTTTCCTTCAGTGAGCCATTCATTACCTCAGCGCATCATTTGGCTGTCTCCTCATGGCCCTTGTGAACACACGGCCTGCGGTTTATTCAACTGTGCTATTAATAACAACTGCAGTCGCCACCGTCTATATGCCAGGTGCTGTCCATCCAGTTATTACTGGGTTGATTTAGTCCCTTAGCAATTGAGGGCTGGGACATAGCTTGGTGGCATCAGCACCTGTCTAGCAAGTGCAAGGTCCTGAGTTCAATTCCTGGTTAAAAAAAAAAAAAAAGAGCCCCTCCTTTGGCATTTGAGGAAGCATCTATTAATGTCGTCTTTCAGATAATAAAATTGAGGAACAGAGAGATGAAATAATTTGCCCAAGGTCTAAAACTAGTAAGATCTGGGTGTGGTGGCACATGCCTGTCATCCCAGCACTTGGGGGGCTGAGGCAGGAGGATCACAGAGTTCAGAGCCAGCCTGAACTCATAGTGGGAACACCTCGACTCGGTAATTTAGTGACTGAGCAAAACATCTCAAAACAAACAAACAAACAAAAAAACACACAAGAGACCAGGCCCTGAATTCCCTTTCTGGGACAGGAATACACAAAAAATTCACCGCTGAGGCCAGCACTTATCACATTTCTTCTACCCAAGCAACACCTCCCAATCCCGGTTCACAAATGAGGTTGGGGGAAACTGAGTCAGTGGGGGAGGGGACCGCCCCAGCTGAGCTAGAGGTCCTTACACAGATGCAGCCCGCTGTTCTCCCCTATCCTGGCGCAGGCTTTTGTGGGAGGAGGAGGGACAGATCAGTGAGGGTGCTTCCATTAGCTCGGAGCTCGTTAACGACGGAGAAGCTCGACCCGCCGATGAGAGGTTAATTGACAAAGGCGTGAGGAGGAACCCCTCCCACCCGCGTTTATTCGCGGCACCACCGCAGCCCCGCAGCTGCCGGGAACCCCAGCTGATCTGCATATGCAGCAGCCGGAATTAATCAGCAGGCCTGGCGCTGCTCCCAGCTGGGGGCGGGGCGGACGCCCGCTGGGGGTCGCTCGTGGCTACAGCCGGGAGATGGTTTAGGGGACAGAACCAGGGGTGGGTTCCACACAGCTGCAAGACGCCGCCGGACACACGCGCACGCAGACACGCATGCGCACACACACGTGCGTGCAGACACGCACACGGACCAAGGGCCCACGGAATCGGATACTTATTATTTATTTATTTATTTTGTATTTATTTGTTGAAACAGGTTTTGGGATGCAGTCCAGACTGACCTTGAACTGTGTAGCCCAGGCCGACCTCAAACTCAGAGTGATCCTCCTGCCTCAGCGTCCTGCGTGCTGGGATTACAGGCTTCCGCTGCTGCGCTGTGGTGGATCCTTGCCATATTCCCCTCACAGCTGCAGGCTGGAGCCAAGACCCACAGAATAAAGCCTTCCACCCTCCGCCAGATTCAGACACCCTGGCACCCGGAACAGGGCACCACATATACACACACACACCCAGGGATGCTTGGACACAGCCAGTTTCTTCACACATGCGCAGTTGTGCACACAAACCCACCCCCCAAAAAGAAAGCCACTTCTGGAAAGAGCCAGACCTCCGTAGTCACGCACGGAGGCACCGTGTGAGGGGCGTGGCATGGGCCCGGCACACAGAGGGCTCCACGGCCCCACGCACACAGGCGCGGTGGTGCACGCCTGTGATCCTAGCCCTCGGAAGGCTGAGGCAGGAGGATCTCTGAGAGTTTGAGATGAGCCTGGGCTACATAGTGAGGTCAAGGTCTGCCTGCACTGCATAGTGAGACTCTTAAAAATAAATAAATAAATAAATAAAAACAGAACAGAAACAAAAGAAAAAGAAAAAGAACAGCAAAGAACAAAGGGAACATTTGCCTGTGTACTGAGCACATAGGAACTGTGTTTTTTACGATTCTCTAAGTGGGGCAGAGGGGCCGCTATTCCTGTGGCATTGATGTTGTCTCAGGTAGTCCAGGTGATCTAGAGATGATTTACTATCCAGGGACGGTTTCTGTGGGTTCCGCGTAAACACTACACCATTTTAGAGCATGTGGATTTTGGGATCCGAGGGGGTCCTGGGATGAGCTGAGGAGGAGGGAGGGGCCCTGTAACCCGCTGTGCTCAGAGCTCCCGAGCACCGACGCAGAGTCGCAGGCATGCATGCGCCTTGTGGACCAGGCCTACACGCAGCGAAGCTGTCAGTCACCAGAGCAGACTTCAGTCCCGAGTGCCCGGCCACCAACCCTAAGTGACAGTTCAGGGACTAGGGAGGGAGGGGAAGCTGAGCGGAAAGATGACCGGATGAGCCCGACATAGTGGCACATGCCTGTAATCCTAGCACTCAGCAGGCTGAGGCAGGAGGATCGCTGTGAGTTCAAGGACAGCCTGGGATACAAAGTGAGCTCAAGGCCGGTTGAACTGCATAGCAAGACCTGGACTCAAAAGACAAAAAATAAAATAAAATAGTAATAAAAAGAGCTATAAGAACTAGTGAACTTATTCGCATTTCTTGACCAATTCTTTATTCCCAGCAACAAGAAACTAGAAAGAATTTGTAGAAGGAGCCTATAGCACCCAATAAACTGGTTATAGAGTCTCACTACATTAAACAGGATGGGCTTAAACTTGCAACCTCCCTGCCTCAGTCTACAGAGTTATGGTTTAAAATCCGAAACAAAATTAATCATGATGACATTTTTTGCCAGTGCTGGGTTGATCCCAGGGGATCCACATGCTGGGAAATGGCTCTAACCCTCAGCTCCACCTCTAACACCGAGTGACATCCCTCACCCTGAGCTCCGCCCCTCAGCCAAGCTCCACCCCTCACCCGAGCTCCACCCCTCACCCGAGCTCCACCCCTAACGCCGAGCTCCACACCTGACTTCAAGCAACAATAACCAGAGCTCCACTTCTAAGCCCAAACACCACTCCTAAGGACAAGCTCCACCCATAATCACAGGCTCCAACCATCAACGTGAGCTATGCCGCTCCCCCAGCTCCACTCCTAACCCAGAGCGCTACTCCTCACCCCGAGCTCCGCCCCTAACCCCGAGCCCCACCCCTAACCCTAGCTCCGCCCCTAATTCCGAGCTCCGCCCCAACCCCTAGCTCCGCCCCTAACTCCGAGCTCCGCCCCTAACCCGAGCTCCTCCCCCAATCCCGAGCCCCGCCCTTAACCCAGAGCCCCGCCCCTAACCCCGAGCCCCGCCCCAACCCCGAGCTCCGCCCCTAACCCGAGCTCCTCCCCCAATCCCGAGCTCCGCCCCTAGCCCCGAGCTCCGCCCCTCACCCGAGCTCCGCCCCTCGCCCCCATCGTAACCCTTTTGGCTCCCCAGCAGTAAGACAATTCCTCAGTCTGCGCCTGCCACTCCCTCCACCCCAAAGCTTTGCTGTCTCCCCAGCTGAGATTCTGCTTATTCACTGCCGTCCCCTCCCCCCCAGTCTGGGACTCGTTGCCTCCGGAATGTTCCCGCTTGTTTCCTGCGTGCCTCGCGTGAGCCGGCTGGTTTCTGGCGCCTCGCACGGCGTGTGCTCAGCTGTCTGGCGAGGCTCAGGCTCGCCTTGTGGGCGCAGCAGGCTCCCGCATCTGCTCTCACGGGGACACAATTCTTTCTTTGTTTTCTTTTTGTCCTCCTTTCTCGTCCTCTTCTCCCCTTTCCCTTCTTTTTGCAAGACGAGGGATCAACCCCCGAGCATTCGCACTGAACTACATTCCTGGTCCTTTCTATTTTTTATTTTAT